CACACACACTCATGGACGAAGCGTGCGAAGGCTTTGGATCCCGATTCAACTGCCTACTAGTGAGCGAGCGTCCATGATTGTGATATACTTCTGTGCGCGGGGCAGCCTTTAGCGATACTCATGAAATTAGTGTTGTTTATTGATATGGATAGTGAAAAGGCGGTACAAAAGTTTTTAAATAATTGCTTTTTCCCCCTTTCCTACGAAGAAAATAAACGGCAACTGAAGAATGAGAAAAACGTCGAGCATATATTTTTAAATGTATTATTCCAATCTTTGAAATCGAAACTACAACATCCTTCCTTGTTATTTTGCGACTATCTTTCCCTCATTCTTCCAATATTATAATTTAAAATAAATCGGGATTTTGTTTATATAATTCAATTTTACTCTAAATATGTTCGCGAAAAGTGTGTTGTGGGGGTTAACACTTTCCTTCACTGTCAGCGCCCTAGGTCCAGAGTGTGGAGACGTCACGCTTATGAGTCATCTGATGGCTCAGAGTGAAGTCGCTCTCTTTTAGCAAAGGAGGCCCGGGTTCGATTCCCGTCGAATCCCGGACAATTTCATGTGAAATTTGTTATAAAAAAAGTTCGCTGCTTCACAAGGGCTATTACAACCACTGTGGAGTGTCCTAAACACCCACATCCTAATGCCTTCCCAATTCTGGCCGCTAGGTGGTGACGCAGGGGCGTTTAGTAGGAGGCGCGTACGCGAAGATGTTACCTGGCGGCCCTCTTGACAACTGACGTATTGAAACATTAATGGAAGATTACTCTGAAAACGCAAAGGGCTCAACGCCCTAAGGGGCTTTGAGAAGCGTTGCCACGGCCATTTACAAATCTCTTTCTCTCAGGTTCCTCGTCGCGTGTCGGTCTTCCACGTAAATGCTCAATCACTTAAGCACCATTTCTTGAAAAAGAAATATTACTGTTGAAACGACACCAGGTCTGCTATTATTTAGAAAAACATGACTAAAATCATCGATGAAATCAGGACACATATCGGTGTGTAATTATAAACTCTTTCGGAATCATAGATCGGTTATTTGAAGAACTCCAAAAGAAAACACGGAGGGGTCACAATGTTTGTTGGTGGTGGCATTAGAGTTAGAGTTCACTCTATCCCCAATTATTCCTATTTAGTTAGCTCTTCGTACGTAAGAGAGACTTGTTAATTTCACATTATTGCTATGTACAAAACATAACAGAATGATTTAATAAAACAACACAAAACGAAGTCTCATATCCTCAAGAGAATCTTCGTCACCAGCAGGAGCGAGACGGAATTAGTGCGGGCTCGCCCGCAAAACTTTTTATTCGGGGCTCCTTTATAAAAGTGTATAGCAAACACAAGAAGTATGTGTACCTTGTGTAATAAAATATCATTTGACAAATTTATACTCATCAGTCTATGATTATAACATAAATCAATGTTACTGATTACGTTGATTTAGAAACAGGATTACATACGCTACTCAAGCGGGGGAAAATCGTTCTTGCTGCTTTTAATCTTTTATTGTATCAACTATCGCAATTTATCAGAGAAAGTTTAAGTACTTAATATTTCTTACAACCGCGAAATCGTCAGCCTAAAAATAGGCCCACTTTACCTGGGCCCGCCCGCTTTGCGGGCCTGAACGTTAAGCCACCCACTGGCCACCAATACACCTGGAGTGCACCCCGTCGACCTTGGTGCACCGTCTCGACCTTGAAGTGGCCAGCAGGTGGCGGTTCCCCCTCCACAACCTCTTTCCTTCGTGGGCCAACGAGGATGACTCGCCGCAGTATGGCGAGATGACGCGCTCTGGCGCGTGGAAGGCAGAAAGCTGAATTGGCCGTGTGTGGTGTGGAGTGTAGTACGTGTGTAGGTGGGTAGTAGGTGCTATATTTAGAAGAACACGTGGTCGTCTAAGAATTGGCCGCGAACGCGCCAAGAACGAAACCTGTTCTCCACGAGCACCAACGATCGGTAGCACTGTAGTGAGTGACGATTGAAGATAAGTAACGTTACGTCAGGGAGCCAAGTAGTTTGATGTCATGCTGCGGGTCACGAGATAGTTCAAGAACAAACAGAGTTGTATGGGGCGGCCACTAAGTGATCTCGTTTTCTCCCAGTTTATAAAAGTATTGAAGTACATATTTAGTGTTAAATAGATAATTACAAACTTAAAAGGCAAAATGTCCTCGTGTTTTGTTACGATAGCCCGTAATTTAAATAACGTTGCAAGTTCAAGAAAGTTTTTCGGTTCCTGTAAGAAACACGTTCGATTGGCTTCTCAATACTACCCAATAACAGAAGACATATATGGACTTACAAATGAACAGAAAGAGGTGAGTGCGCCCGTGTATATACCCATGCATGTACACGTGAATTCACGGACATAAAAGTATTAACCGCATGATGAAAATGCTTTTTGTCATTTCACTGTGAATACGTCAAAATACTTTGATAAAGTACTAAGGCTTAATACAAACCAAATAAACATTTTGTTGTAGCTGCGGCAAACTGTTTTTAATTTCGTTCAAAAAGAACTAGCACCGAAAGCCGCTGAAATAGACAAAAATAATGATTTTCCTGGATTGAGAGTGAGTATCATAATTAATATCATTTAAAATGTTACATTTAAGAAAGGAAATACCTAATTTTATTTAAAAATACATATATTGTTTAGGACTTTTGGAAGAAGCTTGGTGCCATGGGCATGTTAGGTGTGACAGTGTCCAGTGATTATGGTGGATCTAATATGGGATACTTGGACCATTGTATTATCATGGAGGAATTATCTCGTGCTGCAGGAGGAATTGCATTAAGTTACGGTGCACATTCAAATTTGTGTGTAAATCAGATTCATAGAAATGCAAATGAAGAACAAAAGAATAAGTATCTTCCGAAGGTACATATCTTAATTTCTGTAGTTTAATACATTTGTGTATTTATCCAAAAAGGCAGGTACCAACTTCACGTATTCCTTCTTTAATTTGGAATTGTTGTACAATATGTACACAGTCTTACTGGTTTATTTTCAAGTTTTGAGAAACCATGCCAAGTTTTGAGAAACCAACCAAAACAAATGTTAATATTAACATTTTGTAATTTATTTTCCAATAAAAAGCTAGGAAGTTGTGTCATTGATAAAATAATTGCACTTGTTGGTACACACATTTTCGTATTATCCCATATTGTGTAGTAGTTATATCATTATCCATTTATTTAACCCCTTTCCTTTAAGAGTTACAAGTTAGAATTTGTACCTGATGACAATACTTAAATTCTATAAATAGCACCACCTCATATCACAACTTGTGATTTCTTATGCAACTTTTATAATTATTTTCTGCAATTTATAACACTAGGTTATACAGTCACCCTTCTCACATTCATTGCATATGTATTTTATTTATATCCTAATATTCCAAATCCTTGCCTATTTACTACATCCTTTTCTCACCTTCCAAAAAACAAATCGTGCATATTTCTGTCTCCTTTACACTTAATTTAATACAATGGCTTCCTTCATCCTTTACTTTGCTTTACCCCATTTCCTCCCAAATCTTTTTTCCTTCAAAAATTCCTCCAAAACAAATATTATGGCAAGAAATGAACAGATTTTCAAAAGGAAAAATATATATCTTTTAATTATAATTACTTCAGTATTTTACAATAATAATAATAATAATAATAATAATAATAATAATAGTAATAGTCATCATTCTGAACTCCTTTGGTTTAGGAATAATTCTGTAGTTCTACTAGTGGGCATTTTTATTCACTTCGAAATTTCTAGAGAGATATTATGTTTTTTGAAATGAGTTTTTGATTAATTGTCCTTAGATATGAATTAACAAAGAATTATTGTGACAGCTTTGTTCAGGAGAACATATAGGTGCATTGGCAATGTCGGAGCCAGGTTCTGGATCAGATGTAGTGTCAATGAAACTTAAGGCAGAGAAAAAAGGAGATTATTATGTCTTAAATGGAAACAAATTTTGGATTACAAATGGACCAGATGCAGATGTTTTAGTGGTGAGTGATTGTATTTCCCTTTTGTTTTATGTTTCATTTCACTTGAAGTAAATATTAGAATGTATAGAATGTTGCAAATGGAATGGTCTTTCCAGCTTTCACCATTTATTAGTTTTCATTTCCCCATAACTTGCTGTCAATCTATTCACCACACTGTGGATGCCTAGCTGATATTCCCTTTCTCCAATTTTTCAATGCTCTTCCCTGTTTTCTATGTTTTGAAGGATTCATTTCAAACTTTTGGGCCATCTTGCATTCTCTCCGACAAACCAGATTAGTTGTTTGTTCATATATGTTTAAATCGTTACTTTCTATTTCTAATTCCATTGTTACTTAAAATATGGTCCACCCCAAAAATTATGGTGTTCCATTGCTACAAATCCATTTCCTTGATGTTCTTTAATATGTAGTGTTCTTTAATGTTTTATTTTTAAAAAATTAATGTCTTTTAAATTTTTGTTTAGGTCTACGCGAAAACTAATCCAAATGCAGACAAACCACAGTATGGAATTTCTACCTTTATTATAGAGAAAGGCATGGAAGGCTTTGAAAGAGGTCAAAAATTAGATAAATTAGGTATGAGAGGCTCTAATACAGGGGAATTGATTTTTACCGACTGTAAAGTGCCAGCAACCAATTTGCTTGGTGAAGAAGGAAAAGGAGTTTATATTTTGATGAGTGGATTGGATTTGGAACGGCTTATTCTGAGTGGAGGACCCCTTGGGTTAGTTTTATTCTTTTCTCATTTAATCATATTTGTGAAGATTATGTATCCAAGACTTTGTCTTCAAACATTATTTTACGTCAGTGTATTTTATTGTTCTTTTGCAGGATAATGCAAGCTGCTTGTGATACTGCATTTGAATATGTTCACATTCGAAAACAATTCAATCGGAGAATTGGTGAATTCCAATTATTACAGGTTTGCATTCTTCTGTATTTGGGGTAATATAATCTTAATTAATAGCTTTTCTTTTTCGTGCATCATTTTAAGTTGATAGCGGATTAATAAAATCATTGATACACTATCAATGATACATGAAAAAGAAAAGCTATTATAGACCATTATAGTACAATATGTGTATTCAAATATGAATGAAATAAGCTTAAAAAGAAAGTTACACTTCATAATTTTTTTTAAATATTTGGTATTGTTATTTTGTTGATGTTAGCATCATTCTCCAGCATTCTTGGGAGCTTTGGCCGAGATGGTTCTTTGTTTGCTTTTCACCAGGAAATATATATTTACTCTTCCATCATTGTCATTGCTATTTTGACACAATAAATTATTTTTTTGAATGAAAAGCATCTCATATTTTTGAGATTTCCCTTAAATATGCATTATTGAAGTTAAACGAGCGCTTTAAAAATGTTGATAAATCCCCAACTCACAAAGTGAGGCGGAGATTTATTTGAAAATTTCCAAAGCACGAGTGGCACACTTTATTGGACATCGACATAGCGATTGATGTATACCACATCCTAAAATGGATGAGTCACAGTTTATAATTGGCCAGAAGGGAGAAGTGCTAAGAAAATTCTGATAGAAAAAGTGATAAACATTTTAAGATACACCGCCCTGATTGAGGCATTTTGTATGTAGAGTTAAACACTATTAGTTTTAATTTCATGAGTGGAATAGTCATATATAATTCCAGGCTTTGGAAAGTGTTGATAAATCCCTTACCCATGAAGTGAGGAAGGGATTTATCTGAGAATTTTGTGATCTTACTTGTCTTTATAGAGTTTAATTTGATTTTTAATAAGGACAAGACACAATTTCATGAAAGTAAGCTTGACTGAACTATCATCGTCTGTTTCAATGATTTAATTTGTTCAAAGAATTGGTTGCCCCGACCGGGACTTGAACCCGGGCTTTCTGGTTTATGCCCCGCTGCTCAAACAACTAAGCTATTAATGCAGTCTGAACAGTTTGCACGAGTGTGATTATCGCTCCTTGTATATATTATATATAATTATTATAGTATCATTATATATATTACCATCTTTCATAAAACAAATGTTCTACTATATATAACGGAGTCCTGCTGATTTTAATAATTAGAAGCCAATACTGTGGAAATTCAAATTATAATTGTGACCAGTTAAGCTAATTATAATTTTTTATTATTATATTCTTAACTATGAGCATTTACATAATTTTAAAAAATTGTTTTCTATTTTCTTTTGCGGTGTACTTTTTTAATATTATCATATATAGTTGGCATATTATGTATTTCAATTTTTATTTCATTTTTATTCCTTTATTAATAAGTATTCTTTTTCTGTGGTTTCTACTTCTCTTGCAGGGTAAGATAGCTGACATGTACACTAAATTAAGTGCATCTCGCTGTTACCTCTACAATGTCGCTCGTGCTTGTGATAACGGCCATGTTCATCGTAAAGACTGCGCTGGAGCAATTCTGTATATCAGTGAAGCTGCCACTCAAGTCGCTTTGGATGCTATTCAGTGCTTGGGTAAGAAATTGTTTTGAGTTTTCAATTTTTTGGGTCTTGCTTGTCATGAGCAGTATGAAATGTAAAACAGTATGTATTTTTAAGGGTGAGCCTTGAATGTTAGATGAATTAAACCAACATTTCGTAACTACTGAAAAATAAAATGAACAAAATATTAACGACTAATTGACAACAATCGGTATGGATGATTTAGTTCCCCATAGGAAATTTTATATGAATATGCCAAGATTTGGAGTGGTTCTAAAAGTAGGAAACATTTCTCCAGGAAGTAGTCTAAAGGAAGTTTTCACAACCAAGGAAAACTATTTTCATTTTTGTCTTACTTGTAGGTGGCATTCTACTATGCAAAAATTATAAAAATGTATAATGAAGCAGAGTCGTGTATGCCCCTGGCGCTTCTCTGTATACAGCTCCACCAGAGGTGCTTTAGTTATTACATTGTGTCGAGAAATATGCTCTGCAGAAATGTAATTTAATCCTTTTTTTAAGAAGTCTAAACTGTGTATGTCTGTGTCAAAACTTGCCCTGTTGAACGTGGGTGTCACATGTAATCTTGAATGCTGTTCTCCTCAAAAGGAGAACGCTTTGTGGTTGCAGAGAAAAGGGAAAAATAAGGAGTTTAATATAGTATCATGATGTATGCAACACTCAATAATTTCAAAACTAAAGAGAGAAAGTTTCCAATCTTTATGAATGAGTTTTCAGAAGAAAGGGAATTTTAAAGAGACATGACGAATTGCACTTTGACGTTAAAAACATGAAGGATTTGTTGGAAAAAAGAATAGCAACCAAATCTAAATATTCATGTTAAATGCAACCTGCAACTCTCAGCCAGCATTTTTAAAATCTATATAGTTAAATAACTCTTAAACGGAGCGTTCTAGCAACTTCAAACCTGGAATTTTGAGACAAAATACCTCGAAGAAATATTCCTCAGACCGTATCTACAGGATAAGATCTTGAACATTCTATTACATTTTTGCTGGTTTGGTGCTTTTCAATAGTACCCCACCTGTGCATAGATTTGCAGAATCTGCATGTGAAATTAAACTAATTACTTGATATTCTGTGCTATTGAATTCCACAGGTTATGTCTCTGTTCGGTTAATAAACTTCAATAATTTTGCAATGAGTAGGGTTGCATTTGCCTGAGCCCTTTTTGCATGGACAACATTACATAGTTTTCTCAAAAGTTAAAAGATTTTCTAATATAAGGGAAGATGGTGGAGTTTAACATGTGACCATTCTCGCATGGGTACACTAGTTTTATTACACACATTTTATTTATTTCATGTTAATTGATTATATTCTTATATTTCATGATGTACAATTTGATGTAATCTGTTGATAAGTTTTTTGAAAAATTAATACCAGAAGAAATTATAATGATCGATAAAGAAATTTCCTCCCCAAATCTTCAATTCCAAACTGATCGCCTTTTTCCTATACTGAAAACTGCCTTGGGAAACAAATGAAAGTAAACCATTTTTCTTCAGATGCAATGTGAGTGAAATGCATTGTAATATCAATTCTATAATTATCGAACGTCCAAAATTTGTAGGGTTCCATAGAAGAAAGAAGAGATAGCTGTGAATACACTTTTAATTGAATTGTATTGATTTAATGCCTTATTTTACATGGCGAGACTCGGGCCATCTGGCCTGCTCTTCCGTCTGACCATGCAAATTTTGCTACACTCCTTTCAATAACTAGCAGAGGAAGGATGTATTTCTTGGGCAAGAAACAGGCAATTTTGAATTTACCTCAGAGGCGTCATTTAGGCTTGAGGATCTTTTACATGCAAGTAAATCTACTAACATGGGACAGCTGGCTTTACTTCCCTTCTGAAGGAAGGTGTACAAAGGATTTTTTCACCCTTAAAAATCCACGGCTTCAATCGGGAATGAACCCGCTAACTTGGGTAAACCAGTCCAATACGCTAACCATTACACCGCCCGAACTTTTAGTTCTATTTCATATAATAATTTGTGTGATTTCGATCATTTTGAAGACTTGTCACTCTCATTTTTTTTTACCAAGTTACTGCAGACTATTAACGATGGCTAATATTGAGGATTGGGGCAATAAACCAAAGCTTATGTTTGGCAGCTAAGTTTTTCTGAAGTGTGCATTGCATTATAATTTAATCTGTAATATTTATTTTTCTTTCAGGTGGAAATGGATATATCAATGACTATCCAACAGGTAGATTTCTGAGAGATGCAAAACTATATGAAATTGGTGCAGGGACCAGTGAAATTCGACGCCTTGTTGTGGGACGATCAATCAATGCAGAATATTCATAAGTCACCTTCTGAGATGGAGTGCAGCATCATTTTGATATTTGGGGCCAGTGTAGTTCTTAGTTCTCTTTAATATTTTGAACTTTCTCTTTCCAGATCTTGAAGCTTTTTTATAGATATATACATATATATATATATATATATATATTTTTTTATTGTATATTGTACTGCATTGTAACTGCTTTGCACTGTCAAGGCGTAATAAGACTGAAGATATGCTTATTAGGAATTTCTCTGAGTAATGTAAGGCTTATTCGCAAGAAACAAAGAGGCAAATGATGGCAAATTATAGGGTTTTTTTAACAATACGAATCATCATCAATTCATTTGAATCATGTCATGGTTCAAATAAAAGAAAAATTAACTTTTAAGAAATAATGTGAAGAGAGGAGAAAGGTTTATCCTTGTTTGCCTTGGTGACAATTTCATTATGGTTGTGTTGTTTAGCATTTTAGAAGTGCCTGAGAAGAAAAGTGTGATTCTTGAATGCTATTCAAAGCAATGAATAGTTTATTTTATTCCAATACCTATCACCTTAGGACTCCCAAGATGATAGATCATGTTGCATGTTATAGGTGTATTGTAGTAAACTGGCTCTGAAGTTATCTTCAACTGAGTTGCTCATAAATTAGTACCTGATTTTATACCTCATTATGCTTGGAATTTCCATTAATTTTTATATTATGTTATGGACAGAAGGTGTGTTTTTATTTTAACTTGTTTTGTGGAACTTATAAAGATTGTAAGGATGTGAAAGGTTATAAGTTTATGATTGATGTATGAAATGACTGATGTGAGGGAAATATGCAGAGTATTATCTTTTGGAATAAAATCAGGGTTTTTTTGAAAACAATTTGTAAGTTTTTATTAATGGCATCAGGCAAGTTACTCGCTCTAATAGTAGGATGTACAAAGCTGTAATTAGAGAAAAAGAACAACATTCCTTTTCTTCAGAAAAAATCTTGTTTATAACATTTCATTCTTAATGCATGATCTTAAATCATGTCAAACCAAATGAACATTCATACCCATGACAGGAACATCATTAGTACGTACAATAATTCATGTGTGCCAAAAAGCTGTACATAGCATTCTGTGATGAAAAAAATATTGTTATAAGTATATATAAACTGAGATAGACAGAGCATTTTCCTATTCAGAATTAATATGAATAGGAAATATTATTTTCTGACTAGAAAGTACACTCAAAGTGGTCTTAAATAACCGTATTTCATTTGACAGAAGGAACATAACGACAGTTTGACTATTCTCATTCAAATAATTATGAACAATGAATTCAGTGAATGAAAGAATAACCAATATGAATAAGTGATCTTACAAACACACAATCTAAATAAACAAAGGTTTGCAGGATTTGATACCTAAACTAGTCTCAATAGCACAATATATTTGCATGATAATTACAAGTGTGTGAACACAATTGGATGGTTGTTCCACAAATTGTTTGTCGTTTCTGCTAAAGATGCAATGCATAAAAGCATATGCCAGCCAGTCTCTGGGAGACATCTTCTCTTCCCTTACGATGGTTTCAGCCATCAGGCCAATATGATCTCTGTCTCTAATATTCGGATTCTCCCAGCACAGCGTTCATTAAACGCCTGAAACTGCCACTCTGTTGGATGTTGTCTGCCGTATTTCCAAGGGAATTCACCTGAGAAATTATGAAATGTAAGTAGATGGAATGTGTTTATATTCATATTAAATATTATCAGTTATCTGACAAATCTACACTGAATAACTACATCTGTTTAGGAATGTACTCACATAAGTCTGATGGGGTGCTGAAACTGGTTTCTGAAGGGCGTGAGCAAAAACAGATGAAATTAGTGCGGTTCAGACAGCACAAGACAGCACAGATACTTGGTGATGGAGGGGGATTGTAATAATTTACCACACAAACTGAAGGGACATTGATAGCAGGAATTCAAATGTATGGGTCAAGCAGCATTAGCACTTTTTGTACTCTTATGCTGATTGCATTACGAGCAGAGACCCAAAAGCTACATAATAACCATAATATACAAGTTTACTTATACCATAGCAATAATAAAGCTTCATACCACTACTGCCTATTTCATTACTTGACTTACAGCACATCAGTGGCATGTGCAAAGGCTGTGCAGGTTTATTCAGTTTTTGCCTGGAAGAATATTGGGAATCTCTATCGAAGGTACGAGTCAATTGTATTATGGTGCCTTGCTTTATGAATGCAAATTTGTTCCAGAGCATTACGAGAATGTTAATAGATTGCTATAATAATCATTAAAAACTATATTGAATTTAAGTCCAAAATGGCTAAATATTACAAAATATCTGAGAGTAAACTCTCAAAATTTCAAGTTCTAGAAAGGGGGTACAAATTTTTAGCATTTTCCATTCCCCTTGATTTAGGACTGAAAATTTTCATTTTGATATGTTTTAAATCTTATTCATGTTTTATACTCTTGGTGTGTAAATACACCAGTTTTGTTGACATAAAAATGCCTATTGGCAGAATAAATCCTGAAGGTTCCATCAGCTGTGTGGTACAGGTGTGTTGTTGGAAAACATCACTACATCAGGGAAATGGTCTATTTGAAGTAGAGAACCATACCTGTATGTTTATGAATAGCTGACAAAGGATATTTACATGTAACTACGTTTACAATATTTTCTGAAGCAAATTGTGGGCTTAACATCTTTCCCAAGATTGAAGATATGTCCTTTTTAAAATACCAATTCATTTGTGGTTTTCATTTTGTTATATTATTGCGATTATTTTAAGAATAGAAAATTATCATGTGTAAATTCTCTAGATCTATTCATGACTTACAAATAAAGGTGTAAATTTATCTGAAAATTCACAAAGCGAATGAGAAAGCACAAGTGGGATGCAGTATGACTATTTCACAAATGCAATTCATCCATGTAATGAAATATAATTTTAATTTGATGTATTAATAATAATGAATGTCATATTTAGATAATATTTTAAACAGAAATGTAAGCATGAGACAAAATAAAAAATTATATAAGCTCTGTTTGTAAACAAAAAAAGGTGCAAAATTCCAGAAAGCAGTATCACAAAGCGTTTTGGGACCCTCTGAGTATACTTATTGGACAGAAATCAAAGTAAATTACCCAAGAAATGATTTCAATGAAATGTATCAAAAAGACATTTGTTTTTAAAGATGATAGGGAATAGTTTTCTTTAGAAAGTATACATTTTATTATTAAAATGAATCGTTCTTCCTATCTCTAATTAAAGTACTGGAGCCAATCTTTACAGTTTGAAAATAATTTTACTATACAATTTAGAGTCTTTACATATCTTCTAAAACCCTTGATTGAAAACCTACTGTGTATTTTCTTATTTAAAATTTCTAAATAATGAGGAATTTTGCAGTAGGCATTTTATCAGTTTTTTTAAACAAATTTTATTTATTTTTGTATGAGAACAAAAAAATAATTTGACTTGAAAGTATGAGTGCATTTGTATTTATTTGTTACACAAGGCACCTCTGTATTTGGTATGTAAGTTCCTTCATTTGAAATTTTGCACATTCCACTGATTCAGTCACTTTGGTGGAGGGACAAGCATGAATGTATCCAAGGGCACTCTTATTAACTCTGAGCTAGAAATTGAGCTGCCCCTGAGGCAGCTACTTACCTTAAAATGGACATTCTTGTTGACTTGGGGTGTGAACACCTTCGGCTGTACTGGCTGCGACATTTCCTGGACTTCTTCACCAAACTCAGATTCTTTCAGGGCCTTGAAAGTTTCTGACTTGGAGGGGTCATAGACGTATGTCTTCTTCAAACTGTTTTGTCGATTTATTGGTCAGGAAATAGTTTGTGGATGTTAGAAATACGTTCCAGTCAGTAGGAGAGGACAAAATATTTATTATTGGTAATGAAGTCATTACTTTCATGAAATGTTTTGAATCAACAAGTAGAGAAATTGCAAATAAGGTGTACTCAAGTAAAATATAACAAAGATATAAAGATTCATGTCTCGTATAAAATGAAAACAAGTTATTGCAAACATGGAAGGTTAGTTTTCAAATGGATATGCAATCATGAAAACAGATAAAAATCCGGAATTGATATTGTTAGTAAATCAGCATTCAAAGAAAAGTGGATTTAGTGTTTCCAAGGTGGTTGTGATGGTCCCGGTTGTTGTGGAGGTTGGTTTTGAAGTTGTATTTTTTGTTTTAGGAAAGAAAGATCAATAAAAATACTACAATTAATGGTGCAGCAAGAGCTCTCTAGCAAATAGAATCTATACAATAGTTAAAAATAAGTAGCATGCATTATTTCTATAAAAAATTCTGAAATACGTTTTAAACATGGAAGTCTATGATCAAAAAATTAAAAGCATGATAAAGAGCTTTACATTACCAATGGACTTCACATCATAATTCTGCTCTGTTAGCTTTCTAGGTGTTACCTTATTGTAACTGAAATAATTTTTGTTACTGAAACACATTTATATATCTTGCTTCTACTGAATACCACAAGATGTGTTTTTAATTATACTAGGAACTTGAAATCATAGAGTTTAATTTAATGTATGAAAAATTAAAAAAGCAGTTTGCTAAAGCATAAATATTAATTGTTGTAAGTAAAGTACAGAATTAGCACATGTCTACTAATGAAAGCATAGCATCTGCATTGAAAATCTACATTTGTGATCTAACAACCCAAGGAGTGAATGAACCTGAGGGCGTGCAGGCAGGCAGTTACATTTACTAAGATCACTGTTATCCAAAATTGGATGGATACAATATTGTAGGACACATTGCAGTTGCACTCAAAGGTCTAATTGAAATAAAAATTCTGAAATGAACTTTCTTCAGTATGGATTGGCACCTGGTAAAATGTGTAATGTATTGAAAGAAAGCAATTAATTCTCTACTTGCCTCACAGGGACTTGATTTCGCCGGTCCAACGTGGATGTTCGGGCTCTGCAGTTTTATAAAAAGTAAAGATATTAAAACATATGCATAGCATACATTTTTCATGGACTTCCATGCCATTTTGAATGTTTCATTTAACTAACTTTAAGGTTTCATTGGGCATGTACCAGTTCAAAAGTTTCCAGCGGTTTTCAAGCTTTGATAATTACAGCTAAAAGATATCATTTTAAAGTACAAAATAGTTAATAAGATGTTGTGAACATCTTGTATAACACTTCAATAAATGAAATATTTTGATAAAAATGTGAAAACTACAATAACATTGTATAGTATATATGAAAATATAGTTCAACATTTCTTAATAAAAAAAATAAAATTTCTGTTCCATTACGTAACATGTGAATAGTAAATATTGAATGTTGGGTGGCCTCGTCCTTGGAGCCTTGATGTCAGCTGTGTTGTGACCAGCAACTCACTGAGTATTAGAATTCAGTCAGAATGTACAGTGAGATATTAGGCAAAATTTCACAATAATTTTCACAATATTTTTCAGTCAAAATAAATAAAGTTAAGTTATTGGATGTTTCCCAGAACTCCTGGGTATCCAATGAAACCATAGCCCCTTTTAAAAGGCTGGAGGCTTCATAATTTTCTTTCAATTTCTGCACATAAGGAAAATTAGTAATACAGATGTCTGATGTGGAATTGGAGTAAGATGCCAGCTCTTTCAGAGTTTTTTACTAAAATGGAATGATTTCCTCCCACTACTGTTAAGATTTGTTCAAGAGATGATTAGGGAACAGTATGTGAATTAATAATTTAGTTAAAATAAATTTCTGCAGTGTGTCAACCAGAAAAAGCAGGTATTACATTTATATTTTAGGAATTACACTCTTTGAGGAAAAAGCTGAAAACGTATTATCTGAACTTTCAAAGTGGTACAGCACCCAAGTACTAATTGTCCACTAATTCTGCAAATGCATATTTTTTCCCTTGCTGAGAATGTCGAGAGACTGTTATTGCACGGTTTCATCTATGCCTCTCTGGGCAAACTGCCCACGTTCATTCAATGCAAGTGTGTCCTGAGCATGTGACATCCAAAAGTTGTGGAAATCAGTGCCTGCTCTTGTGGGATAGGAAATGTACTGCTTGACCTGTGCCCCCATCCTACACTCTATACATGTACAATTATTCTTTATTCTCCCACTCACTTATCAAAATACATAAGGGTTAAAATTTGAAGAGATGGATAGTAAATAGTACTGTTGTATATTTACTTAGAATGTATCCTTTATCTCAAGATATACATCTTCTGTTGCACATATTGATCTTAACTCTGTACAATAGAAACAGTGGTTATGAATAATACGCAAAAGAAAGAATTATATTCATGAAGCTATTAATTGTTAGCTCTTAATAATGTTAATTCAGTTAATAATTTATAATGAGTTTCTTGAATGATATTTGAGAAACTCTAGTCATTGAATCTAGCAAGTCTTTTTACTTATGAACATTTATCTAAAGCAAAAATTAAGAAAAAGAAATACATCCTTTTCTCTTTATACAAAAAGCAAAAGACAAATAGTTGACAAAATAACAGTTTTCATTTGTTAGAAGAAATTCCTAATGTGGTGAATACAACTAATTTTTATTTTGTTTTGAGATATCCATTTTAAATTCTAGCTGTAATCAGGATTATGTAAATATGTTTCAACAATGTTACGAATTATTGTTGTATGAATTTTCCAATTCTTTTCAAAATATTTACTACACATTATTATTTTATCAAAGATACAAGTAATTTTAGAATACTTATTTGATATTTACCAGTATGAAATTTAGCAAGAAACAAAGAAGAATAGTGATTGATAATTGCTCTATCTAAGGCTAATGCTTAACCATTGGGTTATACTGTGATGTTGAATGGAATATTTGAAATGAAATAAATTTTTCTTAAATATTATAAGAGCATCACGATCATCATTATACCTTATTTACCTGTTTCATTCAGAGAAATGGCATTTCCAACTAAATTATTTCAAAAATCATTGAGAATCATGATGGCTTACTGCAGCGAAAGCACATTTCTTACTTGCAAATATTTACTAGTCAAATACAGATGAAAGTACTGCAATTTTACTTAAATTTATTGAATTGCATCTTTTGAAGGCTGTATGGTCAATAAAATGTAATTCTGCTGATCCCGGTAGCCAAGATCATGAAGGTACAGTGCCGGAGTGATTTCAGACAGAAGGACCGCCATTTCAAGCCCTGCCTTGAGCATGGTTGTATACGTGTTTGTCCTTTCATCACCATATCATGTCATCTTCAGTCACCATACCGTTAAATCCAATAGTGATCGCTAATGACCTACATATTGATGCAATCTTAAATAACCTCCCAAAATTTAAAAAAAAAATGTAACTCTAAAAAATGTTTGCCATTTGTTTAATGAAAAGATATAGATGACATTACTATTTGAACAAGTCTGAAATACCTTGAATTCAATGAAAGTCATAAGATGACAGTTCAGTATCATATGAATTGTGATATTATTGAATGCCATAAAAAGTTATCTTGAAAAAATTCAAGTTTGCATTTTTTAAATTTTGTGACACTCATATTATGTTAATTATGTTACCATGTCATCTTGAAGGTTTTTTGACTCATTTTGCTTGTTTTGAAGACCAAAAGTATGTCAAAAACCAAAGTAAAGGTGGGAATGTAAAATTCAAATGACGTGGACTGTGTAGATAGATCACTTTCAAATTAATTATTTTAATACATCGGAAAACTTTTTTGGGAAATGTTAGAGAAATTTCATTCAAAATTTGTTTCATTATAGGTCCTGAACCTCAAACAGGAACCTCACACACACACACACTTTACGACCACGGTCAGGTCGCAAGCCCCGCCTTTTAACATATTATTTAGTTTTCGTGAATTTGTTAACTTAAGAAAGTAGTTTTTTTCAAACTTCTTTCATCCCACCCTAAAAGCTTCTGTCATGTTTGTTCTTGTCAAAAGTTTTAAAAAACGCAACACTCTTTTATTCATGTTTTATTTATTTACGTCAAAAAAAGGTTAAAAACTGTGTGTGACGTGCTATATGGAGAAGTTAATTTGAAGTTACATTTATGCCCAGAAGCTAAACAAGGGGCCATCTCAGCATTGGCTGGAGGTTCAGGGAAACTGGACGAAAACCTGTTCGAGATGGGGATCATTACCCAGAAGCTGAAGTACAATACTTGTTACAGGTTCTTTTGAATTATACAATCTAAATGGTACATAATACACTAAATGTCGTTAAAAATAATATTTTTTGCCTTTCGGATGCTCGGTATAGTATCTAATTATATAGAAACAGTTGTGCAGCAGAAAAGATTTCCCAGTAAGAGTCCGCAATGTCTGGTTAGTGGGTAATAGAAGATGTAACAGAAGGGGGAAACACGAACAAAACGTGGGTCTCGAAGGGGTCGCAATAAACCGGTAACTTCTAATCAAGTAATCGGATAACACGAACTCCGATTATTTCGAGCCCTGGTATTCGCGTTAATGAGGTTGTACAGTATTAAGGGAGCTTGCAGAAGTCTCAGTCGAGAAATACGCGCTTCTGGCGTGGCGGAATATTTTAAGAGAGAACTGAAAACTCGCCTCGCACGCTGGCCGGCAAGCCCCCTCCCCGCCAGCCCTCGGCGGGGCAGCGGGCAGCGCCAGTTGGCAGTCCGCCAACGCGGGTGAGAGGTGGTGACGAAAGCTCCCCTGAGAATTTCCCTGCCGATCGTTAATCACCCTATAAGCATCTCGATGAGGCGCCCCTCCCGGAAATCGCCAATACAATAAGCTGCTCTGGAGACATTTTTATTTAATTCGCTTATGAAGAGTACAGTCGTGGAAGTCGGGTGTAGAGAGAGGTTTGGTTTAGAGACCAATTGCTTTTTAAAAAAATCGACTGGGGTTATGAATGAAATTGCCAATCTGACGGAAAAGCTCAGACAGTTAAATTCAGTTTGTATTCTGAAAAAAAGAAGCTTATAAGACTCAAAAATCGAAAGAAAGAAAATAGTCGGAGTTAGTTTTAAGGTCCTAGATGAGTGAAATGATAATGAAAGTTGTGTCTGGGTGAAGTATTGAATAAGCATATTAACTGGCGAAAATGGTTTCTTGGTTTTTCGATTCAAAATCTTAAAAGAATTATTTAGTGTTCACAGTAAACATATTTAGAATCTAAAGAAAATATCTTTGCAAAGTTCGAGTAAATCTGTAAATGAAAGAAATAGTAAAATACTTCAGTTATTAGCAGCTGTTCCTGCAAATTAAATTTGAGATAGGGACGTTTTGAGAAAAAAACACCGGCGAAATATAAAAATTACGTTAAAAATGAATAATTATGTCACCAAATTGCTAACAAATTGCCGAACTTAACACACATTTTTTTGTCCTTTATTATAGTCAGTTACCATTTACAGGGATCGGTAAGAAAACTTGTAAATCAAATTAATGAAAATACATGTTATTCCTTACGATTACCCATTAGTATACATTATTTTCTCTTCGTATCTTGTAAGTTATAACGGGTGTTTTGCTGTTGCCTTGTTTGACGACAAGCGTTAAGACTAGCTACTAGTTACGAATGCTTCCTGGGATTGAGGTGTCGGTCCTGGATTTGTCTGGCCCCAATGACTTGGTAACGAAGAGTGGGTCTGGTTGTCAGTTCGTAGCAGATCGAGCTGTACAGAAGCCAGCGTGTTTGCTTTATACTTCAAAGAACCGAATTTTGAAGCACGATCTGGAATTTGCGATTGGTTTAGGTGGTTCGCATTAGCTTTCTCCAGCTGATTCCTTCAATTCAGTTATAAATCCACCGCCATTCAACTGATTGACTGTCGTCACCACCTTTAGGTCTCGGGAAGGAGAAGCACCATAAGTGAATGACATAATACTATAAGGTTCCTCAAGATATCGGTTCTTGTTCGTGGCAAGCGCAGCAGACTCTTGTAAGACCACCCCGACGCTCGTGTTTGGCGAAGGCGCTGCCTGGCAATCAGCACGGTGTGGCGTGACCGGGTTATGAACGGGCGCAGGGGAATCAGACATGAAATTGCGTCCGCATTCCGGAGGCCGATGGCGCTCGGGGTTAATTTTAGGCGCAGGCGGCCTGTGCAGGCCCCTCTCCGGCCTGATGGGCCGCCGCTGCGCCAGGCCTAGCGGCGGCCGTGTGGTTGTGGGCAGGAATGATGATCAAGGGCGTCCAGAAAGGGGGGCAACTTTCCCCTTAACCTCGATTTCTTTGGGGCCCCGATTTGTTTTTCATTCAAAAGAAATGAAAAATAAGTCCTATCTCTAAAGCAAATTTAATGCTAGAAGTTATTTATGATGCAAAGTTAATGAATTGGGGGAGGAGAGACATTTTTGTTTGAAATAAGGGGCCCCTAGTTTTCCCTGGGCGCGCCTGGTAGTGGGGGTAGTAGTAGTGGTGGTTATGGTGGTGACACGGCGGCAATGGCGGTGTGGATAATTTGCGGTAGTGACTGAGGTGGCGTTGGCAGTGGCGGCGGTGGTAGTAGTAGTGGTGGTGGTGGCGTCAGCTGCAGTGTTGGTAGTGATGATAGCGGCAGTGGTCAAAGAGACGGCGGTGAGGGTTGCAGTGCGAGGAAACTTGAATGCAAAGCAGTGATTCCAAACTTTGGTCACAATGGTCTCATGTTCCTCATGGAAACACTCCAGGGGAACCAGGGCCTTGTTTTCATAACAAGCTGAAGATTGGACGACACGATGTAAAAGAAATCCACCGTTCAAAATGTATTTTGTAAGATACTTGTCTGCATCAACAATGGTGGAGGGTTTTCATTGGTTGTAAAGACCAATGACATTTTTGTAATATAAAAAAAATTAATCGGGCGAAGTGGTTCAGTGAATAGCGCACCGGAATCGCAATCGCAGGTCCGAGTTTTGCGTGGTTTCCCTGGGTCGTATGGCGAATGCTGGGATGGTTCCAAAATCCCACGAATACCTCCCACCTCCCCTTATGCCACCTAACACTTCCTACCACGATTCCTAGTATTTTCACTCCTCATCATTACCCTATAACAATTATAATAATAATAATAATAATAATAATAGTAATGATAATATATTATAATAATAATAACATTCTATCGCCCGCTAATTGATATTCAAGGCTAATAATCTTGTCTCAACCTAGGGATGCAGCCGAAAGATCCCCATAATTCCACACGTTGATGTTTTTATGAAAGAATACAACTAGGCCTCGGAGAGAGATGTGTTGAGTGGTCAGTAGTGGCCCATATGCGAATAATAAAATTAATAATAATAATAATAATAATAATAATGATGATGATGATGATGATGATGATGATGATGATGATGATAATAATAATAATAATAATAATAATAATAATGATAATTAAAGAAGGGGAGTCCGAAATGAAATGCCCCGCCGAGCGCGTGCAGCTGGCCCTGGGGCGTCTCTGCATTTAGAGTAAGAGGAAGAGCGAGCGCGTGATTTGTGGCTCCGTTTGAGGAGCCACATGGCGGTTTCCGGAATCCGCTCGCAATGGGCCAGTGGGTTTCGCAGCATGCTGGTCGAATGGCTAATTCGAGGAGCTGCCTCTTAATTTTTTAAAACCAGAAACTGGCCCATTCATTTTGATCAGTGGATGTTTTCTGTGGGATTCGAACATGGGATTGTGACATGGTTTACAAATATTCTTAGAGCTTTCGTTTTGCTCCCTTGCTTTGATGGGGAACTTCTATGATTTTCAACAGAAAAACGTTATATTCTTGTACATGTTAACTATGGCAAGTACATAGAAAGTGTTTCTGCTTACGAGTAATCGTTACCACATTTCTGTCATTTATATAGGTTTACTTAATCCATGAATATTTCTCGTTTTAACCCCAAACAATTAGCAGGAATTTATCCAACCGTTAAATATCATAATCTCTCATGATAAACAAGCTTGTAGGTGATAATGGGTTCTGAGAGTTGTTTGACTCAAGCGAATGTTCTCTAGTTTACGATGCCCGTTCAGTAAATAAGTCAATAGAATGAACTGCGTCAATGAATGAGTCAATAGATTTAATTGTTCATGTTGTATTACGAACGTATTAAAATATGCTCTTGGCCCATCGGTATTAGTGACAGTTCATGCTATTCGAGCAGCAGTGCATGATTTTTACACGTCTCAACACGCTTCCATCTATCTGAGAGCCCGGTGAGGTTGTCTTCCCCTTTGCGACGGACGGTCGCGCCTTCAAGGTCCTTTTATGCGAGGTGCATTTTTAATTCGATTCATAGGTGTGATTCTGGTAACACATGATAGCATTAATTACATGATATTTGTAACACAACTAACACAATTTTCTTCTATTTTTATTTGTGACAAACATTTTAGAGATCAATTCAATTTACAAATGCATAGGGCGTATTGCAGTACTTTCTGTGAAATATGAGATATAACAAATTAAATTTAATTTCATCTCAGTTCAAAGAATACTGAAATCTTGAAAGAATATGACGTCAAAAATTAATCGGGAAAGCAATCAGCAATTGGGTACCTTAAGAGTGTTTTCCAGAAAATGTGTGGGATACGCTCTTATTGTACGCCATACACAAATCCTGATGACAATTCTAATGCAGAGAGCATTTATACTGTGTTCGTCCAGTATTAATTTCTTGAAATGGTTAGATTCTGAGACATTAAAAATTGTTCACGTTTACACAGTGGGCTTTTGCCATAAACGTGAAATCGAGAAGTTCGCTGTGAAGCCATTATCTTAAGAGACTTATCATCTCATGGGATCAGAGACATAAGTGCTAACAGACTTAATTGGCTCTTCAACAATACTTGCTTTAGAATAGCCTTCATTAATATTTTCTCTCTTTTTCGTTCTTATAATGCGTTTATTCATTTATTCGTCTAATAATTTATTTTCTTTAACTTAAAAAAATTCAATGATTTTTTAAGTTTAAAACATTTTTTTCAAATTTCTAATTGGTTTATTGGTGCATTCAATATTTTTTCTTGAACTTTTGTTATTTGTGGCGTGGCAGCCCTGCGCCCCGCCCCGTCCCCGCCGCCCGCGGCGAGGTACTTACGGTGTGGCGCCGGTCTGCGACTGGATGGTCTCCGCGATGTTCTGGTCCGAGTAGAGGCCGATGGGTGAGTTGAACTGCTTGTGCACCACCTGCGCAGAGGGGGGCGGTGAGGCGGCGCCGAGGGGCGGGAGGCGGCTCACCCGCTGGGGCTCTGGGTGAGCCACGTCCCGCGCCACGGGCGAGCAACCAGGCGGCGGTGGAGGCGGCAGAGAGAATTCGCGGAGATCCAACGCTGATCGGGTCGAGGTTTGGCAAGCGCCCGGGAATGTAGCTGGGGACGTCTTGTTCGGATTTCTTTGTACTTTTCGGATTCTATTGTGATCTAAATAAGGTGACCGTTCTTAAATGATCGTCGGTTCGGAATCTGTGAATGCATTCTGGTTATTAGGTTTGACTTCCGTGTGGAATACACGAATAAGCTCAATCTGTGAGAAATGCCGAAAAAAAGTCTTAACACTTTTTTCAAGTTTGTAAAAATGAATTAAATGAAGAATATTATTAAATATATTGTTTCTGAGATTTGTTTTTAAATAATCGTACTTTCTTGCTCATTCTAAGCTCTTATTCTGTAAGACTTTTCGGAAATATTTTTATTTTATTTACTCGAGGTCAAAAATGTACCAGAAATGAGAAATGCATTTAAACTCTTCTTGAACTTAACATTTTCTCTAGATTTTAATGATTTGTCTGAACAAATAATACTCCTTATGCATGAAATGTGCATTTGTATATTCCCTAACGTTGAAGCACTGTAAGATTTTCAGTGTTTTGACCCCGGGCTGCCTTTTGACTTACGAAACGGCGTTTCTCGCATTCGCAGTGGCCTGATGTCACCTTGAGCCGTTTCCACAACGCGGTCGTTATTTCGCGCCGAATGTCTGGCGGTCGCGGGCCCGAACCCGTGGAAAGCTCTTCGGCCGCGAAATGCCTTTTTGCGCGGCGCTCGGGCAGCTATTTCAGAAGGCGCGGGCTGGAGCGCGTTCGTCCCGCAGGAAGCCTTGCCAGCGCATTACGTGCTACGTCAGCCGCGCGCAATCACCACACGCGTTTGCGCACAAGCCAATGCGCATTTCCTTACCGTTGTGCGCAGGGCACATTAAGCGACGGCTTCACGCGGGCGTAAATTCCAATGATCTTATTTCGGATAGAAGGTGAAATAACGGTCGTTCGTAAATCTTTCGCGACGGCAGGAGGTGTTTCAAATGATTTTTGGAAAACTGTTTGTTGGTGTTTCGTAGCGGCAATGTTTCCAAATTATTTAAAGTAAAATTTTGTACGGACCACGGTTATTAGACTTGTTTTCTTAGAGGAGTAAACAAGTTTAAAATACAAAATACTAATTTTCTTTTGACATATCATCCAAACGGCAATGGACTTATTTTTTGTTGAATAAAAAGTATGTATCATAGTTTTCTCATTCTAATGTTATTTATATCGAAGGAAATCTCAGCAGTAGTAATCTAATTTCTGCGCCGCCTCCACCGCCGCCTCCGCCTTCTTGGAGCAAAGCCTTTCGTCGGGGCCCGCCGGATCTCGGACAACCAGCCCCGACCGCACACTTGTGAGAAAAAGAGAGAATTAGTGAGTCGGAAAATTAAAGAAGAGCACAAGAACAGACGAAGAGGTGAGGTAAGGGGCACACTGCACACTGGTGAGTTTACACGTCTGTTGAGGTGTGGAGGATCTTTCTCCTCGGCGTGCACCGGTGGGTTAACATTGGGGTTACTCCAGGGCGTGTGTCTGTGAAAGAAATGTTTTCGTTTCTTGCTGAAAATATCAGAGAACCACAGTTAAACTTTATTAGCTCATATTTCTTTATGAGTAATAGAAAGTTTTGGCCGTAAATGGCTGTTACGAAAACATTGTTAATTGTTGCTTAAACATTATTTTTAGAAACACTCTTTCAAACGTTAATGTGTAGAAAGGGGAAGCTGTGTCTGTAGTTCTCTGACTGATAAACATAAATAGTTCTAAACGTTTAAAGAAGGTATTGCTCACTAGAATTCCCATAATAGCACTGTAAGTTAAACGTCGTCTTATTTATTGACATTTTATTCTGTAATGTTTTTAACGGTATGCAACTGTAAACTCTATTAGATGACCTTTAAAAGATTTTCAAAGGAATTTACCAAATTAATTTTTCTATGGCATTATTTTTTATTAGTATTATCGTTCTTTTTAAAATACTCGTTAGATGTATAACGACGGGCATGTATATTTAATGAAACAAAAAATGTCTTATAATACATTTCTGGAATAAGTCCTGCCTTTATCATAAATTTATGTGGATAGAAGAAATATTTAGTATAGAAAATAATACATTAAGCCGCAAAGATATTTTTTTTTAAATTCGACGAACCAACGAAGCGACACTTTTGAATTAAACTCTTTACGTGCTTTAGTTAATAGATATGACAATATTGTGAGAATAAAATATAAGTAGGTTTTCATTTCAGTATCAGTCATACAATAACACGAAATAGCCATCGTGTCAGCTTTTCTGAAGGAAAAATCGATGCTGAAGACGAAATGAAATAATTACTTTAAATCAACATTGTTGTGAGGAAACACGCGCTCTCTAGTCATTTATCTTAAGTTTTACAATTCCCAGATGTCTCTTTCATCTTAAAAGGGAAACTGACAATCCTTATATTCATCAGCAGCATTTTGAGTTGGGGCAAATTGCATGTCCCCTTTTGGACAAGTCGTTAAGGCCGTGTATTTTTTCACTCTTCTGCCTGCTTTCGTGTCTACCACACTTCATGAGAGAATTCGTGCTTTTTACCAATACACATTCCTGTGAAGTCACTTACAGTCGGATTTTCAGTCCTTTTGGTTAAGGGTCGAAGATCAAAGAAAATTAGATCAAGAAATTTACTTCGTTGATTTAAGAGACACCAGATCGTGTCGTCAGCGACAGTTGTCAAGTTTTCTCAGATCCTACGTTGCTCTTTCATCTTTCGAAGAAATACTGTCTATCATTTACAACATCCACATCCTCGCATCAGTAGCATTTCAAAAAGAAATATCTCGTAACATCGATCCTTCGCGAATTTGAAAGAAAGTTTGCAGGTCCTCTGAATGATAGATCGGAATGGACGTGTGAAGTTGTGGGCTTCTGCGGACGAGACCTACGTTTACTCTCTACCTTCCGGCGGCCGAGCAAACTGTCTGACAGCACCTATCTGTCTCCCGTATTTTATAAAACACTTCGATGTCCAGATTCGTACTTTCTGTCAATACTCACTCCTTTGTATGTAATCAGAATAAAAATGCGATTTCCAACTGTACACACAAAAAAATCGGCACTTTAAAAGTGTATGTTCGTTCCAAGAGGCTCCGAAGACTTAAATCCCTTATAGAATTGAAATACCAAGAGCCGTTACTGCTGTCTTTTGTCTTCCCAGAACAGAATTGTTTCCTACAACAACAGACTATGCTCTCTTTCATCTTACAAAGGTAATAGTTCACTTCCACTCGTCAGTAGCATTTGGAGAATCTGGATTGCGCTGTCTTTATTTTTGTTGAAAGAGATATTGAACATCTGAAGAATCTACGTGGTCATATTCGTAATTGCTCAGACTTCATCTGTATTCCTGGTTCGAAATAACATCTATTTGTGCTTTCTACTTATAACGTTTCCTCTGATTGCACTCATAGTTTCAAAACTTGAAGTCAATTCCATGAGCGCTGGAGCTTGAGGAAAATCAGTCAAATGAAGGAAGTCATTTTAATCTCGCTACTTTGCTTCAAAGAAGCTTTACACATGACTGTCGCAGCGGCGTCGCACCACAGTGTTGTAATTCTTAAAGCATACGCTGATGTACTGTATGTTACGAAGGAAAACCGCTAATCATTCGCAACTCAACATACAGTCTTGAGGAAAACTTCCTACATCTTAATTGAAAGAGGGATTGCAGAGTTGTAAATGAGCACTGACTGACAAATCAGCGAGAGCCTGTCTACGATGCAAACCACATTTACCGTTAGTTGAATTTGAAGTAAATTAATCGTGCTTACTACACCTATTTTAAGGAGAGATTACATCTCCCCTGTCTGACAGACAGCGTGGGCGTGTTGACGATAAACAACCGACATCCCCTCGTCAGTTGTATTGGAAGAACATCGATCGCGCTTCTCCATCCTAGTTGGAGGAGAAGGGACTGTAGGTCCTTCGACTGATGAATGACGATGCAACTCTCATCCTCACGTCAGTTGCATTTGATGAAAATCGATTGCGCATCCTCCATCCTGGTTGCTCTCTGGCGTCCTATCAGCGTATGCGTTTGCGAGTTTTTTTGTTTTGTTTTTTACTTCCATACAGGCCCGGCCGATAATGCGGGGATGGTGGTTAGCTATACCCACACGAAAAATCCCGTGTGAGTGAAATTTCCACTCGGAATTTGGGGCGAGAGAAATATTCCTGAAACGTCAATTTCCAGAAACGAAAGACATTTCTCGGTATTGCGGCGAAATCAAAACGTAAATGCGATTAACTATGTTGCAAGATCGGCTCAACACTATTGCGATTTTACATGTTTATAGATCACCGTCAACATCGATTTGCAAAAATTGTTAAAAGAATTTATTTAAAAAAATGCAATGCCAAGCGCTTTTTGTTTTTTGCAAAAAAAAATGAACACCCGAAGTTACGTAAAATAAATGTGATAGCAATTTAATGATAAACATGACAATTTGAATAAAATCTGTATTGTATGTTTCCTTTCGTACACATTTTCGAAGGGAGATGAAGGGGAAGGGGACCCGCGAGGCGTGGTTTCGCGGGTCGCTTGCCTCGAGGCGTGGCGTGGCGTGGCGTGGCGTGGCGTGGCGTGGCGTGGCGTGGCGTGGCGCGGCGTGGCGTGGCGCGGCGCGGCGTGGCGCGGCGTGGCGCGGCGTAGCTAGGCGTGGCGTCGCGTCGCGTCGCGAGCGTGTAAACGGTGTGTAAACGGTGTGTAAACGCGTGTGTTAACGCCGCGACTGCGCCTCCGCGGCCCAGCGCGGGCGAAGTAGGCCGCCGGTGTTTGGGTGTGGCGCAACGCGGCTGCTGCTGGGCTCAACGCCTCCCACCTGCTCGCGCAACGTCTGACACGTTCGGGCTGGCGCCCTATCACGGCCGCCACACGGGCGGACGAAAAGTTTCGCTGCCTTGCGACTCTCCTCAATCTGCATCGAGGGGGGGGGGCAGGCCGACCAGTGGTTGATTGGGTGTTTTAGTGATTCTGGGCACCAGGGTCAGTAGTCCCTTAAATGTAGTGCACGTTTTTACTGGGGAGGTGACTGTGATCTTTACATCGCTGCGTGGCGAGATCCGGTGCCGACCTTCCGTCCGCTAGTGAAATTTTCTCTAAGCAAAGCAAACGTTTCTCTAAGCGAAACAAGCTCCAAGTTCCCGACCGGTCTCACAAGGAAGGGGTAGGAAAGATCGCGCAGACCGTGGCCGTTTGTTAGGGTACTGCTCCGGCATTCCCCTCGTGTTGATCGGAGAAACCATAGAAAACTGACGATCAGAGCAGCCGGGCGCTAGAATTCTCCTCCAGACAGCGACTGAAATCGACCTAGCTGATAAGCTAGTGTCGAAAATCCTGCCACCGTCGGAACTCGAACCTAGGTCAGAGGGACTGCAATGATGCCCTGATCAGTTGATGCCCTGAGCCATATCTATCGGTCCATGAAGTGATCAGATTGCTTGACTTCTGCCGTTGGATCGGGCTTCGAGGTCCGGCTGGTCGATGTGGAATGTGTAGTGGGTAATGTTGGTTAGCGGTAGACTGTTGCGGGTTATCCTGTTTCCCCATCATTGCTCTATCATCACTCATATGAGTAGAAAGCAATCAAAATACACTGGTGGAAAAAATTGAGTTTGACATAAAATCGTAGTTCTTAATACATTCTACACGCTCCTGCTTTTAGATTTCTTCGAAACGCATTTTAACACATTGAATTAAATGTGTTTTAAACACATCTGAAAGTAGGAGCGTGTAGAAGGTATTAAAAATGACACAATTTCATGTCAAACTCATTTTTTCCAACAGTGAACAATTTACGTTTAGATTGGTTGCTCTCACATTTTATCACATTCATAATCTCTTACATAACGATTCTAATATAACATGAAGATTCTGTCAAGAAAAGACGTCAAGAATCGTCGTTGGCGTTCAGAGTAATATCCATTGTCAAGGACTTGATATTTTTGGCTTTGGTTCATAGTTATTTCGGTGTATCTCCACGCACATCTGTTATGTCAGTTTTCTGTTGACGACCCGAGTAAAGTAAGTTACGTAGTAAAGTAATTTAGAATTGGAATACAATAGCTCTTGTATTAAGTTTCTTTTTGTGTTTTTAAATAGTCTTTTAGTAGTATTTTCTTATTAGTAATATTATTTCAATTTTTTTCATTGGAAGAGAAAATTGAAACAGCGTTCTCCTATTCAGTAATGATCTAACCTGTGAAAAGTGAAGCAGCTGGAAACGGAAAGACGAATGTGTGCTCGATTGTGTTCTATTTTATAAATGTTCTACGCCATTTAAAAAAATCTAACGTTCTTGTGCCTCGATAAGTAAAACTATTTTAACTACTTTTACATTATTTTGTATGTTCATTCCTTTTGTTTGCTGCTGATCGTTTTGGCAGTCTGCTGTGAGCGAATCTCTTTCTGACTAATTAACTAACTTTTAAACCTTTTTAAGATCGCTTCTCATCTACTATGGTCACACCACTGTAATTAATATTGGTTTTGTAACTTTGGGGGTAACAGTACAGGAAGTCGCATACGGACGCACACAAACATCCATGCCCCGGGCGGGATTCGAAACCGCGTCCCTTCAGGCTCGAGGCAGCTACGGCTCTTCAGACTTAGGGACATCGGCTATTTGGCAGGCTTGAAATAACTTTATTAGGAGAACATTTGCATTTATTGAGGCGCAAGTTCACCCAGTTTCTTGCTTCGCGAGTTGATTTAGAAGCGTAAGATTTAAGACAAGGGCGGGGCCTCGTCAAAGCGATCGTGGCCGCTTTTCAACGGAAGCAGTTCCGTAGCATCGGCGGCGCTCTCCTCAAGGCTATCCCCTTTGAAGGCGACGCCGCTGCCGACGCAACTGTCTGCGACGAGAGGGCGGATTTCCGGGACGCGCCTCTACTCCTCTGCGTCGACGCCGCTCAAAGGTCGCGTCGCGTCGCGGAAACCTGACCTGCCTTCCCCGGAGTAACGTCTGGAGCCCATAGGGGTGCCCAAAGCGGGCGCGCGGAAGCGACTTTGGGGCCGGTGCTTTCAAAACACGTTTCTAGAAAATATGTTCCGATAAAATGTCGACGTTTTAAACAGCGATGTACTGAAGTTGATGTTTTTGAACATTGATGATTTTTACTCGATGATTTTTACGTTTTCGATGTTGTGTTCGTGAATGAAAAATACCTGCAATCACAATTTTGTGGAAGTTAAAACATGAAGTTAAAACTTACGGTACCATCGTCTGTTAATTTGTCCCAGCCAAATGAACGCGGTGTCTGCTATCTTCATCGAGTAGACTATTCCTCATCCGAGACGATGTTTTCTTCGTCTTTACCACGTGGTGAGCCGTTTTATAACTTTATTTTCAGTTAAATTTTAATTATAAATACATACGGACGCTGTCAACGTAAATTTTGTTGCACACGAATTTAATGTTAGAGGTTGCTAAATCAGTTTTAAAACATTGATCTTTAAAATAATAGATGGGTTTTGCTCCATGTATTATTAGTATCGTTGTTTTAATTTTGAACATCGATGTTGCGCAACTGCGTCGTTGTCTCATCACTAATGCGCACTCTGCAACTTTGAAGCGTCAGTTGAGGGTTTTCGTTCTGTGGAAACACCTGAGAAACTTCCCTGCGTTGTATTCTTCTCATTGTCGTAACAAGGAAGTGTCATGACCGTACTGTAGAGTTTTGCGATATGACATAGCGCAGTTAAGCATTTACTTTTCGCCGACGCACATTGAAGCATACACATTACGTTGTAAAGATAATCATATACGTTTCAGGAATCATGTGTTTTCCGCTAAACGGGTCATCAGAGATACCCATATGACATGTGATTCAATATCTTCTAACACTCCGAATATTTTTGTGACTTTTAAAAGGTCTAAATGAGGTTCTGGTTATTCGATAGGCAATGTAGGTAGTGGCACAATAAAACCGTTTCCGACTCGTTTGCTACTCGTATAGGCGTGTATTAGTGAGATTTATATTTTAAAATTGTAAACATTGATATAGCGCCAGCTGTATGTAGCAGTTAGAGTCGCTTGTCGTCGTATACCGGTCATTGGATTGTGATGGGATCCTTAAAACATCTATTATTAGTTTAAATGTCCATTATTAGTGGCAGGCGATCTTGCTTCTCGGCGTGGACCACGTATCCTTGTAACCACTGCACCATGCGCTGTTTGGCAATGACGTCTGGACAATGACAACGAATGCATCGTATACTGTATTGCGTGTACTATATCTTCAAACCAACAAAAATATTTGGAGTACTAATTGTAATTCAATCTGCCCCCTATCTGGTAAGGACGACCTGTTTATCAGGAACTGACATTAAATATCCAAAACTATTGTATTGCACTCTGTGACGTCCCAAAATTCCACAGAATGGCCATGCCATTTCCTTGAAAGTTCGATTCTACTTTGGCGTCTGCTACCCGTAGACCTCTCAAAGTTCCTCCCTTGCGAATGTGGTTCAGCCGCTCGTACGCGTATCACGTCACATCTCTTGGAAGCCTGTGTTTACTCCTACAGCTATTTCGGCCGCGATTCTTCTTCTTCGTTTATACTGACAGGTTACTACACACTGGTTCAAGGTAACCAAAGCGCGATTCCAGCGACGCACTGTGTTTGACGACTGTGACGACTCATAATAGAAGACGGTGAGAGAACGGCCTGAAGGAACTTTTAAGTACTTATTTGCTTATCATCATTATAACGTGCCATCCTCATAATTACCATACCGTTACACGCAATAGTGGTCGCTAATGACCTAGTTGTTAATTGGATTGTTGGTGAAGTAGATACCTTTTTTATTTTGATCAATAAATAGAGATATTGTCAGGTATCAATATTTTAATTCCACTAATGATCATTTCGATCGCGTAGCGATCATCCTCAGAGCTTGCAGCTTCTGGGCCGAAAACAAAGTTCTGCTTTGCTGCAGAACTTTGTTTTCGGCCCAGAAGCTGCAAGCTCTGAGGATGATCGCTACGCGATCGAAATGATCATTAGTGGAATTAAAATATTGATACCTGACAATATCTCTATTTATTGACCTAGTTGTTGATGCGACCTTAAATATAAAAAAAAATACTTATCTGTTGAAATATAGTTCTCCCGTAAATAATAGTGTAATTTCAAATTTTGATACTTGATTGTAACGAAAGTTAATTGAACTAAATTTATATCCTAATTATTTATTTCTAAGAAATTTATGAATTTCATTTACATGAAATATTTCAGACCGCAAATACTGAATTCCTTTCAATACAATTAACACATGTTCTGTTCGTCGAGTCAATTATTACAAAAACTCCGTTTAACTCTCTGCAAACCCACTATTATGTAGTTTTGGAAGTCACTTGAAAGTTTGATAACACCATTTAATATAATATTGCGTTTTTTCAATTATTCTTTTGCCCTGACATTTGTCCATTGTAGAACGATGCTCATGAAGAAGTGGCAGCATTATCAATCTTGTAACATGACGTTTCAATCCACATTTCCAGGAACGTAACATGTAGTTCTTTCTGAGTTGACACACTCCGTTGAGCTTTGTCGTGAATTTTTTCTTAAAGACAGTATTTGTCATTATTAATGCAACTATACTTGTGTAATTTTGTCCGAAAATATCTTCATTTATGAAAAAAGACTAATTTAGTTGCATTTACAACTCGTGTGTAACACCTTTTCCTTCTCTTATGTAACTAAACAATCGCTTGTGTTGAGAAATGGAGGCCTCTTGCAAGAACAAACAGAGTTGAAAGAGATGAGTGTTGCAGAAGCAGTTACGGAACAGAAGTCGTGTGGCTACAACGTAATTCCCGGCTGTTTTGGCTGATAGTCCTGGCGTCGATTCTTGTCTGGGTCCAGAACGTTCTGCCAGAAACATTGCTGAGACCTTTAATTGCGAAATCCAACAGAAATCGTGGACGCAAGAGCTTTACGAAGAAATGAATTGTAAAAGAAAAATGTTGTAAACGAACGGTGTCAGTTTGCCACAAACCATATAATTTCTTTTCAAAAGCCGTGAAATGAATTTTACAGAGCAAACTTCTAGATTACATCTTTTGGAAGATGCGAGAAATTTTCAGCCTTGTAGCGTAACGAAAATGATCGTTTCGGAACGCCGTGAAAATATCACTTACACTGATTCAATCTCGAGTTTTGTGCGAAATAATTTTTAGTCGAAGTAATAAATTTTAATTTTATTAATAAAAGTCTAAAGTTTTCAAATGTTTATGTCATTTCAAATAAGAAATGTACTCGTACTCCTTAAATTAAGGCGCACTTCAAATGGTTGGGAAGGTATTTGTTATATACTTAAAACCCAGGTATTTTCTTAAATGCTTTCTTAGATGTATTTCTTTATGAATCATCAACAAAAACTGAAATTCTGTTCCTTGATTTTAAACATAAAACGCATACGTTCCTCGTGACCATGACCAAGTACGTAAGTCATCAGGACTGTAGAGATGTTACTTGTTACAGAATGTTTAAAACTCAAGCTCACGAGAAAGGAAAAATAAGTAATTGTCACAAACTTGAGTGGCCCAATCAAATTAGAAGAAACGTCACCCTTTGATAATTTTCTTTTTCATTTTAATTACTCTTGTAATTATCCACTTATTTTATTTGAGCGTTTACGAAACTTTGTTGTATATTTCAAATGACAGTAATGTTCAAGTGAGTGACAATACCTTTCATGAATATATGGTTATATTCATGAAATTCTTAAAAATTGTATGAAGTGAACGTTAAGTTCTAGTTCTCTGGGCCACGCAATAAGAACATCTCTCCACATATGATTGTTGAAACTTGATCATTCCGAGGGACTTGTTCATACTGTTAACACTTGGAGGGGGGAAAACCATGCAATCCGTATTCTTCCCCGCTTCGCTCTTCCAACTTGTGGTCCTATTATCTTCGCCTTTCCACGACCCCCAACCCACCATTTCCCACCACACTTTTCGTTCAATCTTCATCGATCCCGGATTTTCCCTGGCGACCCTCCATTCCCCTCCACCCCTCCTCTCCCCTCCACCCCTCCTCTCCCCTCAACCCCTCCTCTCCCTTTCCTGAAGCGACGCTTCACCGTCGTGCCCGCTTCACTCCCCCCCACCCGGCTCGGCGCCCGTGAACCTCGCTTTCCCTCCCCGGCCCCATCCTCTCCCCTCTTCTCCTCTCCCCTCCCCTCCTCATCCCTCCTATGTGTTCTCCCAGCGCCGCCGTCGCCGTTGTTCCATGGGGCGGCGAGGCGCTTCCCCGAGCTCATGGGTGCTGGGTTAGTACTGCTTTTTGCAAAATACCGTGGGACTGGCGGAGGTGGATAAGCCTACCTCGAGAATATCATAGACGAGAATTGTTCTTTGTAATTACTCTTTATTTACTTCCTTTATTATGTGGGTTTGGGCCACATTCAGCGAAAGAGAATCAAACATTGCCTAACGTTAATTGGTTTCTGATAACTGTAGTAATGAAATGTTAAGACATAATAACCGCTCATAGTAAAGTGCTATTGGAGAATAAGTAAAGTTTATGAAATTTTCTTTTAAATCATATCGTTAGGAACTTGTTCTCTTTGACTTCACTTGGTCCATTTATGGCTTTCAAAAACAACAAAAAGCATGCATCATGTTATAGAAAGTGAGAAAAATCCGACGAATCAGTATTCATTTTCATGTGTCTTCATTCAAAAAACAAAAAAACAAAAAAAACACAGTTGTCGAAGCAGCCATGCAACGTATCGATTTTTTAAACTCCTTTTATTTATTAGCTTATGAACAATTCTCGTTCTAATTTGTGGCAGGTTGCCGAGTCCTGTGTATTTTCCAAAAAACGTGTGCTGTTTCAAAACAAGAGCTGGATCACCAAAAACCATCCACAGGACACACTGCCGGCGGTGGGCGACAAACCTTGGTTCCAGCCGCCTCTTCGCCTACTACTCTCTGCAGGACGGTGTCTGCGACCTAAGACAACACAAGGCCTCGTCACACCCGGGCTTGCCTGCTCGGCGGCCTTCTCCCCTCTTTTTAGCCTTACCTCACTTACACCATTACCTCTTCAAACCTGGTGTTTTCACAACGGAAAATCGGTGGACACGTGCAACACCTGAGTCAAGTGCCAACAAAAATCTAGGCATCCGTTTGCGTGAACTAAAACCTCTCACACCTGTTTGTCCTTGTGAATGCTTAGGAATGTATCGAAGCAAATGCGCCATTCACTTCACGTAACATTTTTTTAGAAATGTTAAGCATACTTTGGTTATACCTTTATCGGAGAAAAAACTTAGTTTAAATATTCTTTGACAGTAATTGTATGTGTGTGATGCGTATTACGCAAATCCTCATGAATGAATTGATTTTTTTGCATTTAGAGAATGAATTTCTTTGTCAGCATTAGCTAGTATTGATTTATACTACGTCATTCATCTAAAATTAAAACAATAATAACAATAGTATTCTCAGTTTGTCTAATAAACTGTGACTCAATGTCAGGTATGCTGGTAAGGTGAAAAACTATTCGTCCACTTGGCACGAAGCAAAATAGTATCAAGAAAGAATGCGTAGGCATTTTGAGGAATGAAATGAGGATAACACCTGCCGCCTAGCATTTTCTTGAAATCTTATAAAAGCATTGTTCAATTGCAGACTAATGTGGGATTCTTCACTTCTCGATCTCTGTTTTAAAAGTTATATATCATGTAACAACGTAACACCAGTTTTTTATACTAACATAAATATTTTTAAAGTACATTGCAATAACAAAGATTTAATGTTATTAACTCTTTAAAATATAACATAAAATTATGATTTGCGTAATATCCACACACTTCTAAATAATCTGAATCACAATTGATTATATTACTACACATACAGCTGCAGCATCTGAAATGATGTTTGTTTTGTTTTGTTCTTCATGATAAATATCAGTTACATAACTATTACTCAAACTTAAAACTAATATTAAATTTCTAAACCACCATGTAGCATCTGTAAGGAAAAGTATTAACATCCATTTGTACTCACAATACATTAATGTTTTACATTAATGCTAGGGTGAAAAAATTCACGTTTTCCTGGTTGGACATGATAATAGTTGAAAATATTTATTTTGTGCGTCCTACGTAATTGTTTCTACTCCTTAAAATTCAGTCTCTTAATCCAGAATTACACAGCGTAGTAAATATACGCTTTAAATTCCGACGCAAGCTGTAATCCGGGGTTAACGACCCGTGATTATCCATTAGTGTTACCCTGTTTATATCCGCATTTCTCTAGAAACCTCGGCCACTGTCTCTCTCTCTCTCTCTTCTGGGATCACAACACGCTCTATCTTTATTATGCACAGTCCTCGTTGGCCCTTTTCCAGTATTGACACATCTGCGTTCGCGATTCCATGCGGATTTTTGTGAAGAGGTTGATAGAATAATGAGTCCGGAACACATTCTTACCAGTCACTATGCCAAGAAGCACGGTGCAATTTGTAGAGCGTGCAGTTCTCTCGAAAAATATTCGCCCTCTTGTGCGAGTCGGTCGTTATTGATCACGCACGTCGAACGAGCTTTTAAACTAGTTTATTTTCATTATCTTCAATATTTGCTTATGAAACATTTAAAGTTGGATTATTAGATTAAAAACCAACTAATTTTTATCGAGTGAACATTTTGTTATCTCCTCGTTTCCTTCAATGTCTAAAAATTACAAATAGTATAAATTTCAATTATTATCGTCAAATATATATTTAATTAATACTAAAACTGCCAATGACATTATATGAGTTAGAAGAGGAAGTGATATGGTGATTAAGGGCATTAGGTTGGAGTAGAGCAAGTAACGGACGCGCCTTTTGTTTATAAACGAAGCGATTATCGTAACTTTCAGACAACTTAGTGAGATCTTTTTTATACTGACCGTGTGTCGTTCAAAACGTTTCACGGCACACCCTTATAAGGCAAAACAGAAGTAAGAAATATTTGTTTTCGGAATAGATTGATTGATTCAGGGTGCGTCAACAGCTGTCATTAGTCCTGTAAGTGTGCATTTTTTATTGTGGGCGGTGGCGGTTGTCTTCCCCCGTCGGATAGCGAGATCCGGCGCCGACCCATCCGATGGCTTGCAGAGTTTTCCCCACCGGGTACCTCCCACCAGCGGGACACCGCTCCACCCGGAAGCAACTCTAAGCTCCCGACTAGTCTCCCGTTATATGTGGTAGTATAAGAAATGTAAGCGTATGTAACAAAGGGGAAGGATAGGGCAAGGAAGGGGAAGGAAAGATCGCGCGCGTTCCGTGGTCCGTTTGTTAGGATACCAAGGAAGGCTACCGGCCAGAGCAGCCGTCCACTACAATTATCCTCCAGACAGCGGCCTAGATTTCGACTATCTAGACGAAAATCCTACCTCTGTCGGGATTCGAACCCTACGCCCTCCCGGTCAGTGGCACTGCATTGTTCTGTATTGACCGTGTGCCGATCAAAGCTTTTTGTAATTTCACCTTTACGGAAACTTTAAGGAAAAACGTAGAAATAAATATTTTTTTCTTGGAATAGGAGGACTCATACGCCTTTTTAAGATACCTTCTTGGTTTCTCAACAAAAGTCCTCAACGGCCTCCCGACGTTGAGAGTGATTTTTCGTTTTCCTATTTTATTGCGTTAAATCGTAGAATAGAACACGTATTTTGTATATTACGTTAAATAGTACAAGTATAACGAAAACATTGCCATTTACAAAATTTCAGTGATTACTCGTAAGTTTAGGTTGGTTACCTAGTTTTAGATCATATAGTTTACGATGATTATTTTAAAAAATGAAACTTTGAAACGTAACATCAAGTTGGAGCATTTAAAACATTTAAAATGAGCAGGGCTTGAATTATTTGCAGCATGTACACAATCAAAACGTTGCAGAAATAATTTTTTTTCCAGTTTCAACTTTTCAAGTTCATTTTATCCACTCGAAAACATTAAATCAAGTTATTAATTTTTTCTAAATATTCGTTTAGGAACAAGGAAATTAGATAAGCATAAAAACAAGTCTTTAATTTTCTTTTCCCGGGCTCGTCCACATGTGACTGACATAACATGTTCAGCGAAGTATTGCGAGGCTGTAAGGTATATTGATTGCGTTTTAAAGTTGGCAAATGAACAGACTACTCTCATCACTCGCGTAGTCTGGTTTCTGGAGCAGCGAAATTTCTTTCGTCGGTGTGCTATGCGCGGTCCCACTTGCATAACGCTCCCCACGACCGAGTTGGCTGCTGTAGCGCGTTCATTGTGCTCGTTCTAGCGGGCCGGAACCGATCTCCATAGCGTAAAGAACGATCGTGTTTACGAGGAGTCACATTTCTCACTGCTATATGCGTATAACCATCGTAAGCAATAATGACTCACTTGTTGTAACTTATTTTATACTTTTTTACATGTTCGATGTAAAGTGTTGGTTAGCGAGAAATAGCTCAAAGAAGTGAAACTAAATCTGGTATCCCTATTCACAATTGTGTACTGGATAAGAACAAAATTTTAAGTTTGATTAAAAATATTTCTCGTGTTTTTGGTCCTTGTTATTCATCTCTGTTATGTAGTCTATTGAGTAAAGATTATTTTTAACAGTTCTTAATTCACAAACTTTCTAGAACTGAGGAGGATGAACACTGGAATTAATACAGTACTTAATGAGTTCTTTCAATAAGGACGCATTTATGAAACGTATTAAATCTAACGATTCCGAAAGATGTTTCTGCAGTGTTAATTATTTGTTGAGATGGGATGTGAACGTTCTTGGAACAAGACCCTCAAAACTTACAATTGGAGCTATGTTAATAAACGGGTGCTTATATTTAACGTGATGTATCGCACAGGAACAAAGAAAATTAATTTACATCCTTGTTTTCAATGCTGAAATGTCTTAACCACTTGACATTCTGTAATGAAATACATATATTATTGCTAGAGGTCCATTGTGATTCATTTGTCGTGTTTTTCTCAATGATCTAAATTCTAATAACTTTTTGATCAATATTCTTTGCGCAGTCAGAGTTATGAATTTTTTTCAAACTAAACTTTTATTTGTTTAGATCTTGGAAGAACACATAATATTTGAGGGATGTTTAGTAACTATATTACTTTATCTTGTCTTTGTATGTTTAAAATGTAATTCGATAGCGCAATCGTCACGGTAGCAGACCGATATTCTATAAAAGAAGTTATCAGATAGAGAAAAAAATGGCTAAACTAAACTAAAATGTGATGTAAATATACCACTTTTGGAATCATTTAGTGCGCAAAATAGAAATAACTCAATTTGTAATTATTTGTAAAACGATTTCTATGGGATATCACTTACAGATTCATGGGATAATCGACAAACGTTTCTAACATCATAACCACATAAATAAGCAATTTAAGTTTTCATTGTTCAGGCTTATCTTAATGAATGCGAGTAATGAATAAAATTTAATTTAGAAACATCTTAACTTCATCCTTAGCAAACTTTATCTTCCAGCGACAATCAAGTTAACCATTCGGCAAAATTTTGACAATACGAATAAGTAAACTAATTTAAGAAAAACGCACAAGGAACACATTAAAAGAGTGTAGATACATAGAGTATTAAACTGCTCCAAAATTGCAAATAGTCATATTATAAATATTCATATCTGAATTCTATTGGCACATCAAAAATAAAATTAATGTGCTAATTAAAAACTCTTCCTTTTATTCATTTCTTAACAAAAAAAGTGAAATTTCATTAGTACGTGTAATTTAATTTGTAAAAAAATTGTACTTTATCGTGTAAGTAGTGTACGACGATTATTTATTGCATAATTAATCGCATGACTTGATTGCGGGTAGACTACCAAAGGTGTTTGTTTTCCACCCAGAATACCCAGTTACCTTTCTAGAAAGTATCTTTTAAATCGCAAGACGATGGGGAAAGTAACGAGACAAGTGACAGGCGAAATGATACTGATGCATAACGATTATGGATTTACGGTGGAAAGCAATGTAAATGAAATGCAAGGTCTTGGAGAAAACTTTTCTCGAAGTAGTTTGGCTCGCCAAAATTCTATACGGAGCCACCGGATACCCGGAGGGGAATGCCGAGATATCTAACCGCTCACATTACGGGTCGCTCAAGAAGGAACACATGTGAACAAAATGAACGATTGGGAAGAGCGCACCATTAATTGAGTTTGCACAAGGTATCTGGGCTCTCGACAGCCACTACAATGCGACTCGATGAGATGTCTGTGCACTTGGCACCAAATACAACGCAATCCAACGAAATATCTACACTCTACAACCGTTAGAATGCGATTCAACGAGATAGCAGTGCACTCAACACATTTACAATGCGACCCAGTGAGATATCTCTGCACTTGACGACCGTTACAATGTGACCCAACGAGATGTCTGCGACCTCGACAACCGTTACAATGCGGCATAACGAGATGTCTGCGTACTTGACTACCGCTTCAGCGCGACCCGGCGTCGAGCGCACAGACAACCCTTCAAAGCCGCGACGTGCGCGCGGTTGTCGAGGCGACGGCGTTGGGCAAAACCCTGGCGCGGGCCGGCCTTGTTGGGCGGCGGCGGCGGCCGGGCGGCTCGCGTGGGCGGGCGTGGGCGGGCGCTGGCGGGCGTTCGCTCGCCCGCGCCAAGCGCCGCCCATCCCCCGGGTTCGCGCCAACCGCCGCCCCGCGCTCGCCCCGGCCTCGTACTCACGCTGCTCGGGCCCGGCAGATTTCGGCGGAAAGAACCATCGGAAAGTAATCTTTAAGCGGGCCCGAGATTGGTTTGAATGTTCTCGAAAAATCTGTATCGTTACATAACGTGTAACCAGAAAAGCCATTTTAAATGGTCGGCGTACGTAAAAGATTTTTTTTGTAAACCAGCATTGTAAACGACCTCTTTTGCTGCAAGAAATCTGTTATAATCGTGCATTTTACATCACAAATTATGATGTAGTAGTATTTTATGTCATGAATGATTGCGTCGTCACATATTCAGCCAATCGCAGCGAAAGAATCGTGGGGAGGTAGAGGTAAGTGGAACAGCCGACCAAAGGTTATCTTGCACAGATGTCAAATACCCAAGACGTCACAAGAAAGTTGTTTCGCAAAACTAAGTTTGATTATCTTATAAATCTATAGTCGTTTCTAATGTTGCTTTATTGCATTCGTACAAGTTTGAAAACTCGCTCCTTGGGTCGCTCATTTTCAAAACATGTTCTCGTGCAATAAAACATTATAAACTAATTGCATAAAGTGATATTTACAGATTACTGACTGTTAAGATCAATCATATCAAATGAATTGCAGTTAAAAATGGCGAATGAGTTGTAGTAAATAAGAGTTCTTTATTCTCTTGTAATATTCCAACAAAAGACTTTCTTAATTATATTTTTCTCTCTCATAAGAAGGTAGAACTTCGAAAAGTTTTGAATTACACGGCCAATATAAAAATAACTCGCTTAATTTGTTAAAGACATCGGCTGCCACCTCGTTAACAAATTTCAACTGCGTCCGTTGTTTGCTTTACATTGGCCTAATGACTTCAGTACTTATAACACTGTAGGTCGAATAGCAGAACCTCGTTAAGAGCTAAGAAAATCCCAAGGGAAGGATATTCAAATGGACAGCATATAATAATAATAATAATAATAATAATAATAATAATAATAAATGCAATAATAGTAATAGCAAAAATAATAATATTTATTGCTAATTTTCCTAATGGGATTGTTTATACACGTAATTTTGTTCTTATTGAATATACCGAGTTTTTTGTGCATTATTGTACAATCATGCAAGTAAGTAAATAGCTCTTGCGAACCGGAGCTTACCGGAGTTTATATTGAGTGGATGGGAGCCGTACTAAACCTTATTCTACAGAAGTTATTTTCACATTAAAAATAATGATTTACAGAGCGCAGATATCCGTGTGGGCTCAACTAGTTATTGCACTGATAACGAGTTATCTATAAATAACAAATTTTCAAAATTTTATGTGTTTCAAGTAGTCAAAAACGAAAAGAAACAAAATGTATTTAAACTTTGAAAACCATATTTGGAATTTTCCGTTAGTCAATTAAGCAATTAAGTATTTGTAAATACTAACGTGATTCTAGTTAATAAAATTTGAGACAATCATGATCGTTATACATTTCACAGTACCAGTTCCCCTCTTTGAAAGAAACAACCCTTTATTTTCATATTATAAGGATGGAAATATGTTCGAATGTAAATAATAATATCGTTTTCCACTACATAATTTTGAAAATGCTGAAAATTAAAAATAGGTGTAAAAAGTTTTATTCACTATAAATTTTGGACTTCATAACCACATATCTATTTTGTCGTAAATTCCTGGGAAAATAAAACGTTTAGGCCAATGTTCGCTGCTTAGCAATCTCCCTGGTATTACTCGCTCGCGTCCCGCAACGCGGATGTGTATCACAGGTTGCAGCTATCGAAGGGGTACTTCTCTAGGGAACAAGTTCGATCCATACTCTAATTAATATTGTCAGATATAGTTAACGAGCGAGATTTGAAGTTGTACGTCTGACGTTTGGGATTTTGCGGTTATTTATCAAACATCTGTGTTTTTACAAAAAAAAGTGTGCCTCGAGTTCTTTGTAAATGTCTTCACAAACGAATGGCCCGCAAATCGTTACATGCTGTTAGCATTAATTCTAATGCACGTCGCCTATTTAGTGTTTTTGACGAAGCGTGCTTTTCATAGTGAAGTGTAGTTAATATAAGTGAACATGTAACATCAAAAAGGAATCGCATGTGCTCAACTTCGTGACAAATCCGCTATGGCTTCATTCCCAAAATTCAATTGTAGAGTAATACTTATCACAAAAAAGTTTCGATTTTTTCGAATTAACATTTTCGAATCAAAGATTTAAAGTTTCGACTATTACTGAAATAACAATTTATTGTCCCTTGTAGGAAGAATTTTATTGAATCTAAATATAATCTGAAAGAAGCGCGATTCGATTTTTAGTCAGAGAGTGAAATAGAGCGAATAGTGTTTCAACAGATTTTAAATGCCGTTTAGCATAAAAACGAGACTGCAGAGTGTTTATCATTTCCAATCAGTACTAATACATAAGTAATTATTTTCCGCAAGGAAAATTTATGAGAATGTTCATAATCAATAAGGTTTTTCTTTAAAAAGTGATCAAGTATCAAACTCAGTTTAATAGTTACATACGAGGAACGAATTCAATTAAGTTTATTTATGTCTCAAACCAGGAAAACGTGATTTTCAATCAATATGAACAATTCGCTGGAGTTGAACCAAAAAAACTAACTGCAGTTAGACTATATTAATTTTACTTTTTATGTAGAACCCAAAGAATTATGCAAACAGTTCTTTAAACAGATATAATACAGATAAATTTTAAGAAATGAATATATATTTTTTTTAAATGTTCTGCTTTGTGAACTGTTTTGTACAAGTCTTTGATCTCTCCACTGTAGAAAAATAAGTCTAGTGACAGAGATAAAATTAACTAAGTGAAGCCTTTACAGGAAAATGCCGCAGTAACCAATCAAATTTGAGCCAAAATTCCAAGCAAAAGTAGCAAACGTTCGTATACTACGATCTTGATTGTGAAATCATCATTACTGTGTGCCAGGTTTGTAGTGCATTTTCACAAATAAGTTTATAATTTTCATCTAGTATATTGTGACACTCCACCAACTTCATTCTAACCAGACCTACTCGAAACGTGACGGAAATGGGCTGTGCGTCACAATATTTCAGTCATATGATAATTGATTTTAAATTTTTTAGTCGAAATGGCGGAGCAAGTATTGACACAATTTGTATATTCTAATTTTATTAGTTTTTCAAATAGAAGCGTGAACAAATAAATTTAAGTTATACATTCTGTAGTTTATAATTAGGGAAGCGGACTAATGTGAAACTTTCTATTAATTCTGTTGTTACATCGACGTATCTCAACCAGCATAAGCCATTCTTAACGGCCACCGTCCGTTAAGTATTCTAACAGTCCGTTAAAGGTAATGAAAGCTATAAGGTGCAACAAAAGACGGCGTATGAAAACTCATATTTCCGAAAAAAAAGAAGAAGAAGAAGAAGTTCTTTCTTAAGAAGTAGTATTATGAAAAATACTGCACTGCACACCCGGCTGATATCACCAACTTAGTTTCACACAAATCTCGACTGTCGACTCAGTTTACAAACTTCAATCACGTGCGTTGTTTGGTTTCCATCGTCGTAATGATGTTAATAACTATTTGAAACAGTATGAATTTCTGTAAACGTGGTGAATAGTTTGAATTGGGCGGCGAGGTTCTGGCTCAAACGCTGTTGGTTGATTGGCGCGCGAGCGCAGCGCAGCGCGGCGCGGCGCGGCGGAGGGGGCGGGGGGACTCACCTTCTGCTTCATGAGCACTTCGACGGAGGGGTCGTAGTGCGAGGGCGGCGCGCGGAACATTGGGTTCGGGTGGTGGCGCAGGTACGACTCGGTCTGCGCCGCGTCCTTCTTCACCTTGGCGCCCGGCAGCACCAGCGGGGTGGTGCGGTAGGGCTGCGGGCACGCACCAATTCCCTTCATCACACGGGGGCCGAACACGGGGGTAGGTGTAAGTGGGCGGGACTGGAGAGGAAGGGTTGTGCAGGAAGTCAGAAAAGAGGGGCAATGCAGGAAGTTCTTGAAAAATAGATTATATAAAAATGCAGATTATTGATATTACCCTCAGTCCCGCATCACATCACCACAGGGGCATTGGACACATGCTAAAGGTGTTTGTGAGGCTCTAGAGATGAAGGGTTGTGCAGGAAATCAGATAAGAAGGGCAATGCAATGTGAATGTGTTTCATAAAAATGCAATATTGTTGGTACAGATAATAAGCTCAGCTCAACAACACATTATTACAGGAACATGGAACACATGTTAGAAGTAATTGTGCAGGATCAAAGAAGAGATTTTGCAGGAAATTAGTAAATAAATGTCATCATTTGTCATTTGCTATGATAATATCAACTCACTTCCCCAAAACAAACAAGTTAAATCTTGACATATGTTATAGACACAAGATTAAGATGGAAATTCTACATCATAAAATAACCTGAATAATTCATTCGTCAATTTCCATAAGCACTCAGCCAATAAATTATTTTAACTTTCCTCTCACTGTATATTTAGGATTAAACATCTATAAATCAAATAACACGTCAATCACTCACAGAAGCTTATATTATTTAACGTAGCTCCAAGAATGTTCATAAACTTAAATTCTTCTAAATTACGTTGTTTACGAAAAATCAGCATAACTCCTTCTTCCATAGTTAATACCCAACTACATAACGAACTAAAAGTTGAATACCTACAAAACTCAATCTTATTTCATAACAACAACTTTAACAATACTTGATTTATTGCATACAAACGTGGAAAACCATGAAGTTCCGAACAGACCTAAATCAAGATCCTGAGAGACAAATTTGACTACAATCGAGTAGAAGCTGACTCCCCTTTATATCACATGAAAGTAATTCAAACGTTTACTATTCAAGATAATATTCGACGCTACGTTTAAATAAGTCATACTTAAACAATTCTGAAATATCATAGATGAGCGATTATGAGATTATTCCATCGAAAAAGTTCTGAGAAATACCGCGTCCAAAGCGTAAACTATCTTTTGACATCCTTACCAAAACACTCTTGTCCAGCAAGAAGAAATAAATATTAAAAAGAAAAGGGTCGTACAGGAACTTGTTTTCAACTACGTGGCATGCAACTCTATTTACCCTGAGATTAAATGTTACAATGGAATAAGTGTATGTACAGTACAACTTGAAAGTAGGTGCAAATGTATATAGAAAAATATCAGAAACCATTTGAAAGTGCCATGTTATTAAATAAAAAATTAAAATAATATTAAAGTAAGATTCACGATGACGAATGCTGACTGCACCAACCATTATTTCTTTCAAAAGATCTATGAATTTCAATGAGGGCTCACAAGATTGTTGATAAGTGATGTTCACCTCGAAAGATTACATCTTAAAATTCCACATCATCACGAATAAAAATATTGCACTAGTTAAGGATGCAAATTGACATTACACTACCTGCACTACGCAGCATTACTGGGATACTTCCTATATATAACATTTTTTTCATTAGATGTAAATATTTAATAAATAGACAAAGTAAATAAGAAGAAGAAATAATCATAATTCTTCAATTGATAAGAAAAAGTTGTTTTGTTGCTTGTGACTGACATTCACTTTCAACTGTATTGGAGGTTTTAAAATGTTCAGTATCCTCTAGTCAAATTGCACATTTGCTTAGAATATTAGAATATATCTCGAAAATATTAAAATCACAAGTAAAAACGTTTGCAAATGTTATTTTAGAATTTGGGAATCTGAAACGATGCACGTCTGATACACTTTATAAATCATTTCACACACGGTGTATATTGATGACATCTCGTCAACTTCTAGGCTGAATTTATGCAACTGCACTTGAATTCAATGCTTTCTTATCCTAACCACAGTCATCCTTAATATGATCTGGTGGTTTAATGCCTTAACTTTGAGTAAGGATTCTATGCAAAGTATCTCATTAAATCGATTTTATTGAATAATAAATTATTAATTGAATGAGAAAAAGTTAAAGCATTAAATTAGCTTGTATACTTGTTGATAACTGTTAAATATTCTAATCTGAATAGTTTGACATTTGTTCATATTGAAATAAGTGTTTTAAAAATCTTTTTGTTATCGATATAGGCGGGAGAAATATGTATTTTACGTGTAAATTTGCATCCACATTACTGTCTTGGAAGAGACACGTGTAATTTCGGTCATTTTTAAATTTATTTGTTTATGACAAATAATACGACTGGTGAAATTGGATTATCATGTGGACTCAATTTAACTTCTTTGAATTTTTTTACGTATAGGAAGACATGTTTATGCATCTGATAACTGTATTTGAACCAGCTTCATTATCTTTCCGGGTACGTGTTACTCTATGTATGAAGTTGCATACAGCAATAATTGAGGATGGCTTCTTAATGCTCTTTCACCGGCATTGAACGACCTTTCGTTCTTTTTGATGATTTTCAGAAATGGAAAAGGAGTCTCAAATTGAAGTATATTCAAAACACCCAAACAAAATTGATGTACTGTCAAAAAAGAGCAATACGTTTATTAACAATCGAATATGTTTGTAAAGAATTTGTAATTGTTAGCTAAAAAGTTAATAAGTAACCCGATTTTAAAAACCGGCAAGGCGATTGCTACTGGGTAAGAGATAATCGCTTAAAATTGTCTTCGTTCTTATATAAGAATATTTGAAAAAGAGAGAAAATATGATGTATTCAGAAAAGTTTTTTCGTGTGATTTAGTAGGTATACTAAAATGTTGGAATTATTGAAGGTTATATTGCCCATAATTTTAGATTGAAATAAAAATTACGCTGTGGAATACAATGGCTGATTCTTAGATAATTCTTAACATTTTAGAGGTTTTGCGGAAAAAATTTACTTACAAAAACTTTACTAGGTTTGCAATATAAAACCTGGAAATAAATAAAGTGTCTTATTTTATCAGTGACTATAGATTTGTAGAAATTCGCGACAGTCTAAGTCAGTTTGTATCTATTTACAAATTGCAAACTTTTTTGGTATTGGAGATGAAAGAAGACTTTCTATAAGAAAACTATAAAAAATGAACATGCGATAATTGAACATACCTATATTTGTTTGTTTATGTGTTTGAAGAACTGACATCATAAGTAAAGTAACATCTAAATAAGATTTTAACAGAATTGGAAGTTATAAGTTTTACCATACAACAAATTGAAATAAGTTGTTTTTTATATAATCAAACGGTTAAAACATATAGAAGCACGGAAATGAACAAAACATCTGATGGTAAAATGTTTGGTTAGGTCAGTACTCTAGGACAAAAAACATATACGTGAACGAGCGTTATTTTTAGTTGCAGAGGTGTTTTTGAGGTGCAAAGTATTTTAAGCTGCGCCCACAAACGTAATGGGGAGTGAATGGATGCCTCTAGAGGCTGCCTCAACTCGAATGTCAGAGCACAGTCCGAAACGATCTGTAGCATCGTTAGAAGCGCTACACTTTTATCTTCGATAAGAGGAGGAAATTACATCAGTTGTTTCGTTTCCTAATTAAAGAGCATAAAGCATATTTCAATAGTATATCTCCTACGATCTTTCGTAATGTAAAGGCAACACTTTGAGTGAGCAAACTAGAACATTGAATTCAACGTGCAAATCGAATTCATTCCGCGTGTGGAAGAAATTTGTTTGAAATATAAAACGAGTAAATTGTGTATTAAATGTCATGACATATCCTACGTTAAAATATAAAACAGAGCAAAAATAAAGGGTTTGAAACGCGGGAAAGAGGGAACACAGTATAATTTGTCTTCTCCATTCAGCTGAAAAATCGTTCTTAGTTGGACATAAGATGAAATGTAACATAATTAAGGGTTTTAGTTCACAAATAACATTCATGACATGCACAGATATCTAATTATTATTGATTTTTCTACAGTTTATATATTTTCAATTTCTTTTATTACAAAAAAGATTTATTAATGAATATTTTGAGACAACTTTCAAATAATTTTCTGCCCTATTAGGCATACATTTATCAATAACACTGACAAACTTCGAATGATTGTTCTGTCATGAAAATAATTCACTGTTAATAAACACTTTGTTTTGATTCTTAGTTTTTCGAATAAGAGTTACATTAACAATATTAAAACTTCCCCTTTCACTACGAGGCAGTACCTAGCGAATCCGTAAAAAATAGAAACACATTTTCATGTTCATCTGCTATTTTTAACGCGTATTACATAACACGATGTTCTCGAAGTCTTCTCGTGCAAAATAGTAAGCGATGAAGTGTTGTTATTATTAATAATATCCTATAAATATATCCGACGTGTAGGGAATTTTGAAGAACCTAATTTGATTAGAAAAAACTTTCAATAAAATCGAGATTTCGTGAAGAATCTGAAAGCTTAACGGGCAGTTTGTTCAATTTTTTAACCGCGATTACGAAACATCTTAAATCATAACATTTAACATGACGTTGTCTTGGTCCCTCGGAATACTTGAGAGGTATCTTGGGGTGGATTAGATTTGGAGACGCGACCCGTTCCGTGGCAATCAAAGCCCGCCGAACGAGTCCCCCGAATCGAAAGCCACGGCAGAGGAAGCGAGCGGGCATCGGGCGCCGCTGGAGCCATCGCGGTATTTGGGCCTGCGCGTATTTTTAGCGGCGGTGCTGGGCGGCGCGGGCGGCGCGCGGGCGGCGGCGGACACGTCCACCCACCGCCCTCGGCGGGGGTGGCGCGGTGCCGCCCCCCGCCGCCCCTTCCGCCCTAGCTCCACCCCTGCGCCGTCGAGGGTGGCCACGCCCCCCGCCCAGCAGGTCTGTTCGAAGACCGGATCCTCGTCTGGAGAAGGGTTACAAACAAAAACAAAAAAACAACAAAAAAAGCAGCATCGATGAGGCCGGTGGTAGCAGAGCAGTAGCAGCGAGAGCGGATTAGTGCGAGCGACTACAACACTGAGGCGAGGCTGTGCGGCGGTGGAGGCGGCGGCGGTGTCGCCCTACCCAGTACGCGGCGGATTCGCCGTCCCGGTGTGCGGTGGCCGCCATGCTGCGTGCTCCTGGCTGCGCTCCGGTCTTCGGCGATGACTGCGGGCGACTGGCGGCCCCGTGCGCGCACCGCCGCCGCCACCGCCACCGCCACCGCTGCTCCCCGCCCCGCGCCCCACCCCGCGCCGCCCCGCGCCCCGAGTGGCGAAACCGCGACGGGGCGTGGGCGGGATGCGCGCCGTCGCCTCCCGCGGCACAGATCGCGCGTCCGCGTCACGCCGTTCCCCAGGACAGGCGGCGGCAGTTTGGCAGCAGTGGGGAATGAAATTTGGGGATGAAACGTTCGCGCTGTCGAACTTCGGAATCAATCGGATATAGGAATCCCTCGCATTCGGGAATTATAGTATAATTTGTCAGGAAGAACTTTGATATTCCAAATTTGTTTCTTCCATTTGTTCGCCATTGCAATCTTTAGAAATCTATTTCTTTAAAACAAAATCAGTCTGTATTCACTTTCCACACGTTCAAGATGGTTGAGACCGTGCATTCGGTTAGGCGATTCCCTCAATGGAGCTTGGCAGTAATGACGAATGAAAATTAGGGATGAAACGTTCTCATCCTCGAACTTTAAAATCAACAGAATAAGGGAATCCCTTGCCTCCTGGAATTATAGAACCATTTTCTGCAAGACCCCCGAGATTAAAAAAATTGCTTGTACCGTTTTTTCGCTATTGAAATCTTTAGAAACCTATTTGTTTAAAACAGTTTCCTTCACTATTCACTTTGCTACTCTTTCACGAGGGTTGACATCGTTCCCCCAGTCAGGAGATTCCTTCAAGGCAGAAGGCAGGTGGGCAGTAATGAATAAAAGTTGTGGATGAAACATTCGCGTCCTTAAGTTTTGGAATCAGTACGATATTAAAACTCTTGTAATTATAGAATAACTTCCTGAAAAAGCTGAGAGATTCCAAATTTCATACCCACAGTTTCCTCGTCATTGAAAACTTTAGACTCCTATTCTTTTCAAACCGCTTCATTCTCGTTTCACTACTCTACCTTCAAGGCGACTGCGATCGTGGTTCTGTCACGCGATTTTCCAAAGCCAGAGCGTAGATTGGCAATAATGATAAAAATGGGTACGACATAGTCGAGCTCATTAGCCATAGAATCAGTCTGGTTTTGGAAACCTTCAATTTCTGAAATGGGCTCTCTTCCTGCAGAATCGTGTAAAACATTCGGGCCCTCGGACATCCGAATTTTTTGTAGAAATATGCCGACCCTTGTGATGACGTAGTTCGCTGATGGGCTTCCTTACACATGATTTTGTAAGTTCAATCCGAACTGGGAGTACTGTGGGTTTTCAAAGAGCGGGATATTCTCAGTGTATTTGATCACTCTTGTTGGATGTAAAACTGACCGGCAAAATTAAATCTTCTGAGAATCCCTGTCCTTATCCAAATCCTTTCTCTCTCAACCATAAAATGAAACAAGTGGGTCGGTACATGGGAGTGAAAAAAATGTTTGGAGGATCAGGTGTGCATCTGATGTGAAATTTAAAAATGTCCAACAATGCATCCTATTCTAAGGGTAGGAAACAAATAATTTTTCTCAGCCTGGGCAATAGTAAAAACAACATCAAGAATAATAAACTTATTTGAACTGAAACCTCACCCAAAATTTCTCGTAACTTCGCAATTATTTCGCTTTAGGTTTCCCACTTAAACATTCAAAAATGTTGTCTAAGTATATTATTAATAATACGTATAATTATGTTTCAAAGTTTAGAAATATTTGGGAAATTTTAGGATTTGTTTTCGAGAAAATTTTGTCATAAAAATGTTTTGTCTCATAAAAATGCTTCATGTGCACATCACATTTTCAGAATATAAGATCATGATCGAAGCTGTGTAGAATTCTATCTTTATAAACCCCAGATAGCCTAGAACTGTATGTAGATCCACTATATTTTATTCCCTGAAAGCTGGCAGCTGACTGCTGAAAGCTGAAAGCTGGCGGCTTTGGCAGCTGACTGCAACAGGTGATTTTCTTTGTTTCCTTTCGGCTGCCGAGATTTGAAAGCGAAAGCATTGACGTGACTCTTCTGGCGGTGCAGAGTTAGCTGGGAGTTTGGACAGAGCAGGACATTTCGTTGACACTTCGCGCTTGATGTTTTTGTGGCAATGCTCTGTGACTTGAATATTGACGTGTTTGTACAAAAAACATGCGAAATCACACAACGCTTCGCTAAAACAGCAAGTAGCTCGTCCCTATTTCACGCAGGCCAATCTTTATCTGCTTATTTATTATTTTCTAAAGTTGTGAAATCCAGAAATAGGAATTGTTGGTTCTTGTTTTCTATAAGTGATTTAGTTATTACTTCTCATCCAGCTTTAAGTCTCATGCAGTGAAATAAATGTTAGTCATATGCGGCGTTGCACAATACACACAGAGGTAATAATTGTCATGATTTAAATTACCACAATAAATTATTCAATGTATGTTGATTGTAAATACCAGAATTGATAATGTTAGAATGAGTGGTTCATACCTAGTTTTCATAAGTCTTTATCTGAAGTTTTGGATTGAAACTACGCTCATCAGTTGGAGAGAAAGCTGTGCAAAAATACAATTGTTGCAGAATTATCGACAGATTGACGAAGTTTTGTAAACGAACTTTTAGTGATATTTTGTTTTGTTTTTTCGACCTTTTGTGCAATGATTATTTCGTCGTATTGCATCAGATCGTACCATAGAGTTATAATTTACTCCAGAAAACGTGTCACTCAAATTACAGCCGTGGAATTGTTCAAAATTATTCTTTTAATACCAGTCCTCTCACACTGAATGAATAACGGGTATTTCTTTTTCAAAGGTTGTATTGTTTACCTAAGGCTTCTTTGCGGCAGTGTGGTAGGTCTTGGGGCTCTGAACCGTGTTGCTAGCTACCCGGGACACCCGTGTGCCCGTGCTACTTGGCCCGTGTCCAACCCAACGACAACACTGAGTTCTTTACGATCTTACGTTGCGAGCAGTTCCGACACTTGAGAACGTAAAGAAAACCTGTTATTTGTGGGAATATTCATTTCTTATTTTTTGGTTATGTTATTTGCCTCATTGATTATTTCTACCTACACGTCTCGTTCGGTTGAGCCCGTGCCCACAAATGTGTTAGTGACTAGTGTTCGATTCGAGATATTACTCATAGTCTTGGGTATCCGGGAATATGTAACTGATTTCGGGTGATAAAAGCTCTAAGAAAAAATATTTAACTTTTTTAGAGGAAGTACTTTTTTAACAATTTGAAATTATTGTAAATTGAATGATAGGAAAGTAACGAAAATATATTTTTTGAATTACATTAACGAAAGGGAATATTATTTTAAATGAAAAATTAATTTTGATTTAATCATTTAAATTAATATAATAATAATAATAATATAAACAGAGAGTTGCATATATATGTTTATATTATTATTTTCTTTATTCATTTTATTATCCACTTCATTATTAATATCATTCACATAAGAAAAATATTAGCTTATTGTTTATTTCAGTGCGAATATTTTGCTACCTAATTGTTCGTTATAGGAACTCATTTGACCTGCCCACTGGTGCTGCCCGGTGAAAATGACTTTAAGATTTGACCTTCCGTGAGTAAGTTGGACTTCAAAACGCGCGACCTTTGGGAAACAACCACAATGGGCGGCCCTCTGTCAAAAGGTTACTTGAATTAGCTTTCGCCTCGTCGTAATGGCCGCACGTCATATGCTGAGCATGCACAAGTTTACTCATTCCACTGGCCAACTGTGAGAGCGGTCGTTGGAAAGGTTCCGGCCCAGGGGCCTATGAATGGCAGACAAAGCTAACTGCGGGCGGCACAAGCGCAACGTGGGAGCATTGGGAATGATGCGAATGAATGATGGAAAATCGAGGTTGCCAAGAATTGGAATAGAAAACTAAAGGTGAAGTATTATAAATAATCTAAGATATTTTGTTTGTACTAAGGTTTCCCGGGTGTCGATTCATTTCTAGTGAATTAATAGAACCGTCATATATCAAACGATTAAGTTTTTATAAAATATTTCATTTAAGTGGTTGCCGGAAACAGGATACGTCAGTGAAGATGGAATTTTTACAGAACTTTGGAGACCACATTCAAAGTCCGAAAGAGAGGTTTTTTAACTGCCTGATAACTTTGGTAGAACTGTGTTGTTGAAAGGCAGTTTAATGCAAATGAGAGTATAAAGATTCACTGACTTTTGATGGATATTGAAGGTGAATGTTGAAGGAGAGGTTGAGGGATTGGTGAATGTTGAAGGAGAAGCGAGGAAAACTTAACAAAAGCTATGCAGTAACCTCTCAAAAAAATCTAAGAGTCTGTTCTCTCCGTATATTTTCGAGATCAAACGTATGTTCAGTGAACATTCGATTAAAAATCGAAATGCGAATTTGTAAGCATTTGTAGTGCCTTTCGAAACTATCTAGACACGGTAGTTCTATGTTATGATAAACAGATCTGTCGTTTCTTGAAAAAAAACTTTAACCTGCATTCTTTTGTCAGGTAAATGGGTAGCTAATCCCCTTTGCGGTGCAAATTATTCAAGAAACAGCCTCCGTTGATGTGTATCTGCGATAGTAAGGAGATGTAGTAAATCTTAAGTATATAACGTAAATGTTAAGGTACGAGTAGACTAAGCATTATCACCTCTCCGCGCCTCAACATCCTCATTGCTTACGAATGGTTTTATGTGATTTTATTCAAAGGTTAATAGAAGAAGAATTCTCTCTCTCTCTCTCTCTCTCTCTCTCTCTCTCTCTATATATATAGTATATATATATATATTATTATATATATGATATATTATATATATGTATATATTTATATATATGTATTATATATGTGTATGATATGTATATATATATATATGTTATATATATGTGATATATGTATATATATGTGGTATATATGTATATATATGTAGTATATATGGTATATATTGTGTAAATATATGTGTATATATGTGTGATATATGTGTTATATATGTGTATAATATGTGTATATTATGTGTATATAGTGTATAGATGTGCTATTATATGTGTATATATGGTAATAATATTGTATATATGTATATATATTGTATATATGTATATATATGTGTATTATATGTTTATATATATATGTGTATATATGTATATATATGTGTGATATATGTATATATATGTGTAATAGATGTGTATATATGTATATATATGTGTATATATTAGTGTATATATGTGTATATATGTGTATTATATGAGTATATAAGTTGTGGATATATGTTATATATGTGTATATATGTGTATATATGTCTATATATGTATATATATGTGTATATATGATATATATATGTGTATATATGTATATATATGTGTATAATATGTTATATATGTTGTATATATGTATAATATATGTTGATATATAGGTATATATATGTGTATATATGGATATATATGTTGTATATATGTATATATATGTGTATATATGTATATATATGGTATATATGTATATATATGTGTAATATAGTATATATATGTGTATATATGTATATATATGGTGTATCATATGATATATATGTGTATATATGATATATATGTGTATATATGTATATATATGTGTATATATGTATATATAAAGGTAATATTATATATATGTGTATATATGTATATATATGGTGTATTTATATGTAGATATATGTGTATAATATGTATAATATGTGTATATATGTATATATATATGTGTATATATGTATATTATATATGTGTATATATGTATATATATATATATATATATATATATATAGTATACAGTTACGAATACTATCGTGCATTCCAGAGTATGCATTTGTGACATTTTAATAAAATATTTTCTTTGTAGTATTTTAAAAATGTATGTTGTTGTTTGGCTAAAGTATAACGCGTTCATTAAAAAGCTTTTTACAAAGTGTCATAACACCATAAAACACAAATTTGCAACAAGGAAAAGTTTTTACATTCAATATTATATTTAAGGAGAGAATTAAACAGTTTTGCAGATACTGTCTTTTGGGAAATATCTCTTCAATCCTTAATCAATTAAAGACATGTGCTCTCATTTGAGATCGAACCGTCTGGTCAACTCAAATGTGCTTCTTTTGCACTAATTTGCTGTTTTTATTTCCCTAATAGACATATGCATTCTAAAGGAAACACACACGAGATATGGAACTTCTGAATGCTAGATGTCGATTTAGTAGAGGTTTTCTATAACCAAGTATCTCCCTCCAGCGGGACATCACCCCACCCGGGACAAATTCTAGGCTCTCGACTGGTCTCCCGGGCATGAGTGGTAGTGTAGTGCAGTATAAATGTAAATGTTCGTAAGATATGACAAGGAAGAGGAAAGAAAGATAGTGCGCAATCTATGGCCCCCTTTTGTAGGGTACTATCCGGTATATGCCAGTTGTTTATCGGAGAAACCTCATAAAAATATCGATCAGAGACGCCGGCCTCTAGAATATTCCTCCAGACAGCGGCTGAATTCGACTTAACTATCTAGCTGGGGTTGAAACTCCTGCCACCGTCAAAAGTATAACAGCAGGATCTTCCGGCCAGAGGTGGTGCAGTGACGTTAATTGACGCCCTGAGCCAGCTAAGCCGGTAAGTTGTATCTGCCGACAGTGAGCGAAGCGAAGGGTGATCGCGGTTGCGAGAGGGGGGGGGGGCGGCGACGATGCAAAGCGCGAGTGCGCGGCTGCGTACAGACGCGCCGATTGCGCATAGTGGAGGGCTATTTGCAGCGGCGCCCGCCCCCAACGCCCGCCCGCCCGCGGGCGGTGGGCGCACGCGGTTTAGCGGCTGCTAACGAATGCTGCCTCGGCCCATTGAGGCAAGCTGTCGCCCAGGCGGTGGACCAAGCGTTGCTGACATTCCGACGAGGGAGGGAGGGGTGGCGAAGTAAAATGAGGTTGCAGTACGACTTGACACGTCTCCGATTGTCGGTGACGAACCCTACTTTACGAAATATTTTACGGATTTTTTTCTTTGCCTCATCAAATAGCCTAGTTGTGAAATTCATTTTTGTTCATGGTTTCAGATATGAAAGTATTTGATGTTTTAAATTTTATGACTGAAAAAATTATTAGGGGTTGATAATAGAAACCCATTCACAATTTCAGTCCAAAAGTGTAATGGTTTGGATTTTATTTCCTATGGATTATATTCCGTTTATTACATTTGATAAAACTGATATTGAACTTGCTATGAATGCTCAAATATTGGAGAAAAAATGAGTATTAATGTGAAACAAGGATAACCTCCTTTCTACACCAAAAACTGAACGTAAGAGATATAACTTCTAACAAAAATGTATTTTCTTCTTCGACTGCTGGCTAGTGACTCAGCTCATTCAGAGTTATTTCGTCTGTGTTGACGTATGGACAGGACGATAGGAAAAAATGTGTTGTGAATATTTAAGAGCGATTATCGTCTCAGCAGAGTATTTTCTGTAAGCCCTCGATAAATCCCATCGCCTGACAGGGAGATTGACACAGTGTGCCGGAGAGTAGGTCAGATTTTCTCAGAATCTGACGTCTTACTCCACACGAATATCGGCCATTCACTCATCGTGGCCTCATCGACAGAACGTAAATAGTTTCGTGAATTCTCTTGATGTATCGAACAATATCTCATGTACACTGACCTCAAATCACATGGCAAGTTGTGAGATAACATGGGCGATTTTTCCTTAAATCTTCTATTTAATGGTTTTTAACATTCACGTACTTCTCATATTATCATCATAAGATTAATTTTGGGTCTAAGGTGTGTAAAATGAACTAATAAATTATATACATAATGACACAGATACGGTTGATGAAAACATCATCGCTTAAAAAATTAGCATCAAAATCTCAATAGGTTTGTTAATTGGGATGTTAATTAAGGATGACTGTGGAGATTATTGCAAATATAATTTCCGAAATAATACAAATGTTATTTACGAAAAATACTAAAAACTGATTTTTTCAAGACTTCATGCATTTCATTATGTTACTCGTTTCCTTGTAGAACAAAGAGGGTGCTTAATTGGAAGAATTTCGAATTAATTTTCTTTTATTCCGTCAAGATTTCCAGGTAACAATAAAATATTTTAAGTACTTCTCCTTCACGAAGTACTACATTGACGATAGATTTCGCCCCAGCCCTCAGTATCGAGATCTGCATCGCATGCAACGTCAGAGATTCGCGACTGGGCCTTATAAATAGGCCGACGTGCCCATTGAGAAGGCGGGCGGGCGATGCCGCACGGCGCGGCGTGTCCGAGCGTCCGTCTCGTCGAGTCGTCGACCTGCCCATCAAGGCTGGGGTCACCGCCCACCGCGAATAGGCGCGGCGCGGCGCCAAGGGCCGGCGAGGGCGGCGGGAGCGGGGACGAGGTGCACGCTCGCACTCAAGGCGGCGGCCAAAGGGCGCGGGAGAGGCAGACGGGGACGAGAAAATGCTGCTGCCAGGGATGCAACGTTTGGCCGATGTGAATATAAATTATATACAATATATGTATCAATTGACAGAAAATTAAGCAGCCTCTGGCTATGTGGCAAGGGTCAATGGTTTTGTGAGATGCCCAGGAAGGCTGGAAAGATCCTAGAGCAATGACCGGCATCAATTAGCGTTACTGCAGCTGTGACCGGGAGGTCCCAGCCTAACAAACCTTCCGCGCACCGCGCACCATCGTTCATTGCTCTTCCTTGTCCTATCCTCACACACTTACTCTGACATGCATTACACTATCACACATGCCGGGAGACCGGAGCTTAGAGCTTAACCCGTCTGGGGCGGTGCCACGTCGGTGGGAGATACGTGGTTGGGGAAAACACCGCTCGCCTACATGTACGGTGTCTGATCTCGTCAACCACCGGGGCAACATTACCTCCACCTCCCGAGGAAAATCATGCACTACACTTACCGGACTAACGATCAGAGTAGTCGACGAACCCAAATCACTAATTAATCTACTAAAACATTGGAACAGTTAGGATTTTGACTTAAAAATGCAAATATTTGATAATGTTAATCCAGAATTTCTCATTCTTGATTTTACACCTGTATTCTCATATCAGTAAGTCATTCCTTACAAGATCCCTGACGACATGAAACAAGGGAGAAAGAAGATTGAATATTCACGTGTGTCGCTTCGGATTGTGCCAATTTTTGTTGCTCCAAGGCCTCGTTTTGCACAAACACGACAGCTGCAGTTCACCGGTGTATTCTGTTATTATACCTAGCCTTCCAGGCCATACCTGGGATGGCTTGCGCTCACGTCAGGAATACTCTGTACAATAAATGGTGATTCAAAACATTGTGCGTGCTGCGATAGTTCAGTTAAGTTGGCTTACCAAAATTCGCTAATGTCATGTGGTCAATTTGACGCATTTTACACCATCGCATTTTCACCAAATACATATATGGTTTATCTTCGCTCATTTTCCAGCCTAACTTCTACTATAATAGCCCTTCTATACGCAACATCCAAAGAAATAATGACCGTTTTGAACTGTTTGTAACAATTTATTAAAAAACTATTGTAATTTTGAATACGATAATGAAAGTTTGTAGGCACTTTGAAAGCAGCTACGTGGAGGTCGTCGTTACATTTTTTGAGGTAATAATATATCCTCTTTGCCTGAATGTCTAGAATCTAGTCTGTCTGCTCTAAGTTTAGATCATTAAGATGTATTTTTTTAATAATATACAGTAAGTTCCCTTATTAAGGAGGTTACGAATTTTTTATTTCAAACTACAACTTAACAGCTGGTTGCAGATAATGTTTTTGCATTACAATCTACTGCGAAAATTTTACAAAATTTATACTTGTATTAAAATATGGTCTCATATTTTATTTTGCAGGTAAATTAAGAATCAGATAATTATAGAAACAAAGAAGACAACGGATCAGGTTACAATTATTACTTTAAATTAATGTGTTGTTATTATTACAAACAAATTATTGGGATTTTAGTAAGACACGACATTTTGCTACATATTAGTGTAGGGGACAAATGCTACGAACGTTTGCAGACTAGAAACAAGGTGTGAGGTTAAAGAAGTAAATAAAGCAAGTAGTAACTGATTCGAACAGCGCCATATACGGAATATGAGAAGGAAATCGGGTAATGGAGACAATAACAAGGCTTCTCTAGGGGCAATGCGAGCATTTTAGGAGCGAGAGATGTGGTTCATATTTCGGAAGTGCAGAAGGTGGTTGCAGAATCGTTAAGATAACGTTAGAGTCATAAAATGGCACGATGCTCAGGGTCGGAAATAGCTCCAAGGCGCAGGAAGGAAGTCATAACAAAATGGAAATGGTTGCGCTTTGGAAGGGGTGGGAACAAGGAAACGAGTGAACATCAAAGCAATGACGTCACCAGAGCAAGAGAAAGGAGAACCCTAAAGTGGGGCAGTTGGATAAAGTATTCACCTTATCTGCAACCATGACTCAAACTTTTAGAAGTATATTCTTTTACGCACTGTTCAAAGTTAATGAGTAATAATTAGATGACACGTTACGTTGATGGAACTTTAAACCAGAGGTGGAGTAGATTGTGATTATGACGTAATTAAAACATGAAAATAATATTTTAGAACATTATTTCCAGACATTATAGAAAATTTGAATTTTTCTTCGACCATCTAATTTGTTTTCCCAATTATGTAGTTCTTATTAATCTATATTTTTGTTTGATTTTTAGCCTACAGGATCTCGTTCTCAGTCACACAAAATTTTAAAGGCATTGTCTCTTGCATCACAAACCAGGCTCACAGTAGCTACAGACGATAGCAATGGTGGTAGATATGTTAGCGTTTTAGCATCAAGGAGAGCAGATTCAGTAGGAGCGGCCTATGTTGTCATAGTCTGCAGCGACGGCAGGCGGCGACATGTGTTTGGTGATGGCCGCAGAGTTTATTGACATTTGTAGGCCAATGAGAGAAATATTTTGTTTCGGCCTAAGGTTTTCTTTCGCCGACGAATTCCTTTTATATGCTTTTCTGAACTACCTTTCAAAGAAGCATTTTCATTAACTACGTAAAAAACAATTCAATGTCGTTTTTTCTCAAGAAATCCACAACTTAGAATCTGTCTCCTCAGGGAACTGGAAACAAATGTACAAATGTACAACAACGGATAGTGCTCAATTATAGTCGATTGTAGCGGTAATATGACGTTGAAAGAAAAGTTTGATGTGAAAGTGACGGTGTTTACCATGCCGTTGGTGTAAAGGCGGTTGCATCGACAATTGCAATCGTGATAGTGCGAAGTGCAAATGGCAGCAAAAATATGGGATGATGGACGGAAATGGTGAACAGTCAGGCGCGGCTGTGCTGGCAGTGAAGCACAAACCTTAGCCTCATTTGTCTGTTTACCTTTTTATCCTCATTACTATACCTTGGAATCTATTATTTTAAACAATATCAGAATTTATTTGTTATTGTGTAAGACCATAATTATGGCATTCGTACTCAAAATTCTCTCTTGAACCCAACTCTGAAAATGGCCTTAAGATCAAATTCAAGGAACATAAGCCGTGGTAAGAACATTTTAATGTAAAGGAAAAATGTATCATTCAAACGAGTGTTCGTCATTCCTTTTGGCTCCGCGTACTTCAAACCCACATATAAAAGTACAGACGGGGAACACGAATCCCCCTGTCAGGGTTGCCTGGGTTCCGAATGACTCGTGATGATACGCTCAAGGTGGAGGAAGTGCGGAGAGGGGTGGGGGCGCTGAGTCCCCAGGATCTTGACCCGGGGGCCCCGAATTGGGCATTTGCCTTCGTCGTGGCTGTAGCTTCTTAGTCTCAGCAAAGAGGAAAGACTTGTCCCAGCGCACGTGAGGAGCGAATTGATTTAACTATGGTGTTAGCCTGCATAGCTAGGAGCTTTGAGCTGGCAGAGCGGCCCGACCCAGGCATTGTGCGCCAGCAGGAGGTGAGGATAAAAGCATAAAGCTTAGGTACCCAATCTTGGGCTAACGTCTCCTGGTAGAACATGAACATGTGTGGTGCAGTAGACCACGCAAGAACTATACATTATTTTTCCTGTATTCGGAAAAAAACGAAAAGAATGCGAAAGAACCTCCGGGCAACTTAAACGAACTCGATAAAATTACTTATGCTTCGACAGACATATTGCCATGTCCATCTAGGCGCTACGCCCTGATGAATCCATGGTTCTCTCAAAATTATTCCTTCTGATTCTGAGACGATCTGTGAATTTATGGAAAAAAGTTCGAAAAATTTAAATTCAAATGAAAGGATTGTAATAAAAAACTTTTGTGATACTCATTGGTAATAAAATTCTAGACACTTTCTCTACCTAAAAGGTTTTGAACATAAATATAATTGAATATGAACATAAATATAATGTCTTTATCCACTTAACGTTTCAGATAAGAAATTATTTTATTTTTCAGATCTTCTCACAAATGTCTTCTCATTTTCCTGAATTTGAATGCCTGAATCCGTGAATTTGTATACCTCAGTTTGAGAGCCAGTGGTCTGAATTCTATAGTATATATTTAATTGAATATGTGAATGATTCAAGTCATTTATATCCCTAAAAACTTAATTTCTAACATAATTTTTTTCTCTGCCACCCTAAACTACACAACAAGGAGGAAAGAATAGGAATCGTCTAACTATGATCTCGAATTATCAGTCGTAAAACAGTCGTGTTTAAAGTCCTTAAATCATTGTAACTTCGCACACACGTCAACATTAAGGTCTATTAGTATTGTTCCGAAGATGGAGGTGGCGAGAAGATACATGCAATTTTGTACCTCAAAGTTGGGATGTTTGGACGGATGTAAGTATATGTCAGGCATAACTCGGTCACATTAGAAGTGTTTGAACTGAAACTTAAACGTGAATTTGAGAACCGCAGCCTAGAGTTAACGCGTGCGTACTTGGGCACACGTGGCCCAAATTCCTGCGCCACCAGGCGAGGTAAACCCCATCACGTTCAACTCAATTTAGTGCTGCCATATTTTACGAGGCAAGACTTAGGCCATCAGGCCTGATCTTCCGTCTGACCACGTAAATTTTTCTACGCCCCTTTCACCATCTAGCGAAGAAAGAAGGTACCACTCGGGCGATTTGTATTTACCTCCCAGGCTTCGCAAGGGCTTGTGGATCTTTTACATGTAGTAAGTCTACATGAGACATTCGACTTTACTTCTCTTCCGAACGCTGGCGTACACTGGACGTTCTTAAAAATCCAAAATCCACGCTAGGATCGGGTTTGAACGCACTAACTTGAGTATAGCCTATCCGATGTCCTAACCGTTCTACCACCAATGCCGCTAGTAACCATTCATGGGCCGTTAAACCGCCGAATCCGCTAATGTACAATGAGGGGGCACGCAGCGCTGGCGGACCGCCTGAGCTGACGATAACCGTTATTCCACTGATGCGCTAGTACCCATTACGTGCCGGAATAACTCCGAAGCCGCTAGTACCCAGCCCTCACGGACCGTCTGAGCTGACGCTAACCGTTTTCCCACCAATGCTGCTAGTACCTATCAGGGCCTTTATAACGCCGAAGCCGCAAGTACCCAACCCTTGCGGACCGACTGCGCTGATCTAACCGTTACACCACCCATGCCGCTAGTACCCATTCAGGGACCGTTCTACCGCCGAAGCCGCTGGTACCCATTCAGGCGGCACCAGCGCTCGCGGACCGCCTGCCGCGCCGTTTCGCGGGCCCACGGCGGCCGCGCTGGCCCCCGCCAGGCTGCTGCTCGCGCGCCGCGCAACCGCTCGGTATTTCGGTCGCCGGGGCGGCGTGCCCACCGCGTCGGAGTGGCGCGCGGCCAGCGCGTTGCGCAAACGCGCGCGTTATGTCACCCGTCGCGCGCATGTCGCCTCGCCCCGCACCGCCGCCCGCCCGCGCCCGCTCGACTAGATCGCCCGCCTCGCGCCGCTCGCCCGCTCGCCCGCTCGCCCAACCGCCCACCTTCGCATCGACGCCGGCTTCGGGGCACCCGCCCCATTCGCCCGCCGGCCGCCTTCGCAACCGCCCGCTCCGCCTCGCCCCCCGCCTGCGCCTCGCCCGCCTGCCGTCGCCGCCTCGCCGCCCGCCGCCCGCCGCCTCGCCCGCCGGCCGCCTCGCCCGCCCGCCCGCCCGCCCGCCCAGGCCGCCCCGGCCGCCTGCCGCCGCCGCCTCGCCCAGCCCGCTCGCCCCGCCCGCCGCTCGCTCGGCCCGTTCGCCCACGGCAGGGCTGCCACTTTTGCGCGCGCTGCACGCGAGCTGCACCTCTCGCCGCCCCGCCCCGCCGCGCCCCGCCACGCCCGCTCCCCGAAATATGCCGTCGCAATGTTGCTCTTGCCCGACGCGATGGCGCGGGGATTTCGGGCTGCGTCCAAGTACGGAGACCAACCCCGCGGGTAGCATGCACGTATCTTGCGATTGTGGAGCGGTTGGCTTGC